CGCACTTCCTGGCAAATAGATGGGGAAGAAATGGAGGTAGTGACAGATTTTATTTTCCTGGGCTCCAAGATCACCGCAGATGGGAACTGCAGCCAAGAAATTAAAAGACGCTTGCTCCTGGGGAGGAAAGCTATGACAACTCTAGACAGCATACTAAAAAGCAGAGACATCACCCTGCCAACAAAAGTGCGTATAGTCAAGGCTATGGTTTTCCCAGTTGCAATGTATGGCTGTGAAAGCTGGACCATAAGGAAGGCTGAGCACCAAAGGATTGAGACCTTTGAATTGTGGTGCTGGCGGAGACTCCTGCGAGTCCCTTGGACTGCAAGGCGATCAAACCTTGTCTAAGAGATCTAGAAGGGTCAGTCCTAGAGGAGATCAACCCTGACTGCACTTTAGAAGGCCAGATCGTGAAGATGAAACTCAAGTACTTTGGCCACCTAATGAGAAGGAAGGACTCCCTGGAGAAGAGTCTAATGCTGGGAACAATAGATGGCAAAAGAAGAAAGGGACGGCAGAGGATGAGGTGGCTGGATGGAGTCACTGAAGCAGTTGGTGTGAGTTGAAGTGGGCTCTGGGGGATGGTGGAGAACAGGAAGGCCTGGGGTCGCGATGGGTCGGACACGACTTCGTGACTAACAACAACAAACCCACATTTACTCAGAAGTAAGTTTGTAACTTCAACAGAGCTTACTCCAAAGTGCACTGGATTGCAGCACTAGTCCATTTGATTTTTCCTGACTTGATATATGAGAACAGGTACTTGAACAGGACATCCCCTTCATGGGTACTCCTTTTTTGGTCCCACATCAAAAGACATAAGTCATTCCTGCCTGCCTACAAAAGGGAAAGTAGCCCACAAAGGAGAGAAGTTTCTAACCTGGCCTTCTCCCTGTTCCGAGGAGGACTCTCAAATATGGGATTCTTCTGTCTGTTGCCTAAACGGTACAATTTAGTCTAAGCTGCCATCATAGGACTGTACCATATCAGATACAGCCACAATCTGGTTCATAAAAGTGCATGTTATCTGAATATTTCCAGCCCTCCTTTCCACCTGGATGTGTAACGTGTGTGATCCCATGGTCTTAGTTATAAGCCAGCGCATCAGTCTACTCACAATTTCGTGGTGAGGTGGGAAATCAAAGGTGTATTCATCTGACAGTAACTGGTTATAGATGTAGTCTCCACGGGTGGGTTGGCCATACGCACCATAGTAGTCATAATACAAAACCTGCAAAGGAACGGGCTTATCAATTTCAGTTTCAGCCCATTTCTGTCTCCCTGAACAAGTTGGTGTTAGTTCATTTCTGAACTCAGCAGCAACGTCTGCATGAGAAGTCAGATGCGTTTCTCCAGATACATGCATTTTGCATGCATTTTGTCCGTTCACATGCTTTTTGCCTATCCCTTTAGGAACCGCTGCACCCCACTGAGGCCCTCCTCCTCCACGGAGCATGTGGGCCCTGATGTTCTCTTGCTACTATTACATTCCAGAGCATGAACAGGAGAGCCTAGGATGCTTACCGGTGCCTTGCCACGTGGGTTAAACCAGCCTGGCCTCTCCCACCCGTGCCTCTCCTGGAAGACACAGCCCTGCTGCAGAAGCTCCTGTTTGGGATGAGGGAGGGAGGGAGGGAGGGAGGGAGGGAGGGAGGAAGAACAGTTTTTAAATAATGGAGCACAAGCATTCCCCCTTGGCCTGTAGCCAAGGAATTACCTGCTTAGCTTTGCCATTCAGGCCTGACGAGACTCTTTTCTCTCATCCGATGGCCTATTCTCTGCCCTTCTTGCTTTTCCCTGGAACTTCAGTACCCTGACTTGAATCCTCACCTTGCATTGCAAAGAAGTCCCCTGGAATCCTTCTCAGATCTTATCTCAGCCAAAGCAATAACCTGCCCTTGTAAACCACACGTTGGGGATTACATAAGTGGAGCCAGTCAGACTAGATGGCCCAGGAAGCCCCTTTTGACTTTGTTTCTAAGGTGCAGGATGGAAACCCCAAAGCCTCACAGGAGTTAGCGTCAGGGGCTTCCCTGCCACAACAGGTAAAAGTCAACCAAATATTTGGCTTATTCCCAATGAAGGTCTTCATTCTGTCTTCTAGGGTGTTTGCTATTCCATCCAGTTTTGTATCATCTGCAAATCTGATTATCTTTCCTTGTACTTCCTCAGCTAAATCATTAATAAAGATGTTGAAGAGCACTGGGCCCAGGACTGAACGCTGTGGCGCCCCACTAGTTACCTCCATCCTATTTGAGAAGATGCCATTGAAGAAGACCCTGTTCCTCAGTCTCGCCTCATACGGCTTCCCCTGCAAACCGGCCAGCAACCGTATGAAGTGAGACTGAGGGAACTGGGTCTCTTCAGCCTGGAGAAGAGGAGACTCTGAGGGGATCTGTTGGCGACATACAGGCATGTGAAGGGGTGTCACATGGAGGTGGGTAGACCTGTTTTCCACTGCAGAATGTGTTCTAACGGAGCAAAGCTCAGGGAAACAAGGCTCAATTTGGTTGACAGGAAATATGTGCTGACAGTTAGGACCACAAGGGTACGAGATGGGCTTCCGCAGGAGCTGGTGAGGGTGTTCGAGGAAAGATTGGACAACCACATGGTGGGGAATACATGAGTGGGGCCAGCTGGAGCCGGAGGTCCTCCAGACTATGCCCAGGAGGCCATGACTCATTCTGTTTCTGTGTATCTATCTTACCTCATGGAGTGGGTCTTTCCTCATGTTGCGTCCTGCCAGAGGCTCATCATATGGAAAAACGATTGAGTAGTTTTTTGCATATGCCTCATGGCTCCGTTCCCGGATCCAGCATTTGTTGCTGGTGAGGGAGCAGTGAAACCTCCTGGAAATGCAGAAAAAAATGGGGCTGCTTTGGGGACAGCCAACCAGGCATCCTGGTGTACCCTTAAGTCTCTAGCACCCAATACGGAGGGGACATTAGCCAAGGGCCTTCCTGCTCTCTGGAAGAGGACAAGGGGAACCAGGAGGGCTATAGGGTTTGCTGCAGGAAGCAAAGTTTCTGCCTCCTCTTGGATTTGCTGCTGCACACAGAGACCATTCTTGCCTAGCAGAGGGAAAAAAGATGAGGCCTCTCACAGGCCATTCCAGCACCACCTCAGCAACATTTCTGGCTTCCAAGAGGCACCCATGTGGCCCACACTCCTTAGGGAAGCCCTTAAGCCAATTATCAAAGAGAGGGAAGGGATCCCTGAGAGGCTAGTAATGGGACAGTCTATAGAAGCGGCAAATAAATAAATAAATAAGTCCCCTGGACAGATGGCACAACTTGAGACTGGTTAATGGAGTGATTGCAATTCCCAGGGCAAAACTGTGGATTCCCTTAAAAAGCCTCATGGTGAGCGGTGCACTTATGCAGATCCACAACCCCCTCAGATGTTCAGGCAAATTTCCAGGGAAGAATCCACGGCATCAGAACAAAGGAACCTGTTGGCAGGTTTTGACACCGAGGTGTTCTAGTGCTGGCTGCCTGAGAACACACTGTTCCTTATACATTAGAACAGCACAACACCAAAATAGCACATATTTTGATTTATGGTGACACTACTCCTTGATTCCAGATCCTGGAGGGCAAGAATGCTTGCGCACTCTCCAGTCAGGAGGGTGATGGCAGGAGGGAAGCAAGGCAGGCAGCCACAGCCACTGCAGGTACGCTGCTGCGTGTCCTGCATCTATAGAGCTGGGCCGTATGCCTGGGCAGACTGTCACACTTGCACACTTGTGAGACGGTCCAGGGGCCATTCCAGTCTGTGCAATGTTGGTGTCTGGGCAGCCTTTGTTCCAGAACCAGCAGGGAGGGAGGGAGGGAACTGGGAAACTTTTCTGCATCTTGTTAGGAATCAGTGTAAAGTCAGGATGACATGAACTTCGTAACAGTGTAGAAGAAGCAGAGAACAGAGGCAGGACGCTTTGCTTTTGCATGTATGCTTGCAACTTCAGTTCTTGAGAGAAGTAAAGTATTTCCTTTACTGGAAAATGTTGCTGTTTTGGGCAAGGTTTGTTTATAAAAACAATATAGAGTGAGTGACTTGGAAAACCACTGTGTGCTTTAGTTATGCTTTTCCGTGATGCCCTGTGGCACGAATCCATTTCTGGCAGACACTCAGTTGGGTACAGTGTCTTGAGAGCTGCTCTCTGGCACACTGTCACACTTGTGTCTCTGTGGTGCCATTCCAATAAGCCATTGCCTTTTCTTTGACATTCAGCATGCTGTTGCTGAGGCTCTGACCATAGCCATGCTAAGAGCTATGGCTGCCCCCTCCCTCCAGTTGCACAGGTATGACTCTGAGGCCTTGGGCAGCCGTCTCTCCCACACTTGGGCGGCTGCAGGAGTGCTTTGGGAGATGCCTCGTGCAAGCCCAGACCTCTTGTCCATTTAGCATCAAGGCCCAAACCCAGGAAGCAACACATGCTGTGCTTTGCTGGCATTGTGACTCGGGGACAGGGTGGTCCCATGGAAAAATCCAGGTGAGCTGCAGACTCCTGCCCCTCCTGGAAGTTTGGCTTTGGAGGCTGCTGGGAGGTGCCTCTTTCTCTGCTGCACAGGAGCTGGATATTTCATTTCAAATTTAAAAGAAACTATTAAGCACACCAGTTGCAAATAAGCCTTGGTCTGGAGGCCACTTTTCTAAAATATGCTTCAGAGAATCTTGTTTTGTTTGAAGACTCTTTAAGTCAAGAGAACTGAAGAAGAGGTTATAATGCCAGGAAAATATTTTTGTAAAAAAAAACAAATTATGTAAAATATCTGTGCCAAAAGAGCATTTTTGAAAGTAGAATATAATTTGTACATTTGTATGTGCTGGTTGCTGAAACATGCGAAGTGTGTATTTGGCAGATCCTTCCTTCATGGGCAACTTTAGACTGAAGTGATTTGTCTTTTAATCAGTCCTGGGTTGGATGTGCTGTCTTTTAAATCATGTATGTTTTGTACAGATTTTTCCACTGATAGCTTTCTATGAATGTGGAGGGGAGGGGGGAGAGAATTGCTTGACTTGCACATGTTGAATATTTTGAATATTTCAATGACTTCCTATAATGTAGCTTTAGTTCTGTGTACCAAGAGATTTGACTGTGTTTCTTTGCTCCTTTTCCAATTATTTCCTTTCTCATATATGTACCCGAAAGATGGATTCCCAGAAATGTGTTGGGTCTGAATTAAAATATTTTCCCCAGCATCTGAAATTGCATCCTCTCTTTTTTCCTGATAACAGGCTCAGCCAGTTAGTGTAGAGCCCACTGGCTTGGTTCATATGTAACACCCATCCAGAGTACAGATCTACTATGATTGTTGAATTGCAGGTTGTCATTATGTGTGAATTTTGCATTATGGTTTAATTAGGGGTTGCTAAGCATAAGTAACCCAGGAAAAGAACCCATGGTCTTTTGTTGGGATGTAAACTCTGGGTTGTTTGTCATTAACAAGCTATAGCTAAACTTAGTGCAGCTAATAACAATCCACGATTTAATGACAACACACACTTACCTCGTACTCGGGGTCATTGTGTCTGACCCAGGCCATTTGACCATAATGTAGCCCTGAAAAGGTGAGTACAGCCCTTATGGGGTCAAATTTTCCCCCTTTGCAAAGTAGAAAGTTTCTTTTGGAACCAAGGATCCCACTTCCTATTCCACCTTTTTTAAAGAAATGGAATCTTCCCTTACACAAAGTAAAGAAGAAATTTGCCCTGAGAAGGCTTTCTTATTTTTATGCTGGAGCTCCTGAAGCAGGACTGATGGGACCGAAATGGGAGCCCTATTTCTTCATGTAAACCTGGCTGTGGATCAGGAGCAGCTGCTCCTCAGTCTCATGTCTGCAAATACGAAGGCTGGAAAATAGCCCAGGCATTCTTTGCATCATGGCACTTCCCAGACTAAAACTCCCATTCAAATCACAAAACATCTAGAAAAGAGGCTACAGAAAGAAATGCTTTTCTGCTGCGCAACAGAAAAATGCCAGTGAGGAATTTGCCGGTTCAGCAGCACATTTCTGCTATGAGAAGCAGAGCATGGAAAGTCTCACAGTGTTCTGCTGTTTGCCAGCAGCATCCTCTCCCCAACCCACAAACCATCTTTTGGTTGTGTTGAGGAGGGCCAGACTCCAAAAATTACTGCAGGCTTTCAGCCAACCCAAGCACTCCCCACTCTTGAGCACATGCACGCACACACGCACACACACAGAGCAGCGTGAAATGGAGGCAGACTGTAAGCGCAAAGGCAAGAATCAGTGGCATCTCTCAAACTTTGCTCCAGTGTCCTCATTCTGAAGTGGAGACTGCAGGGCAGGTGTGCAAAGCCTCGGTTCTGCCTCAAATACAGCTGGCCTGTGATCCCAATGGACTCCCCAGGTGGCTTCCCTTTTCCCCATCTCTTTGATGGCTTCCCATTTTCTGGGCAGCTTTCCCCACCTGGAAGGTTGAAATGCCTCTCCACCTGAGGCCAAAACCTGGCAGGGACTTCGAGCTAAAAGAAGGGCATTTGTCCACACCCCTTTTGCCTTTGGCTTTGCCTGCTAGCAGAATGCAGCACCTAAAGCTCCTGCAAGGATGGTTACTGTGCAGGGAAGTTTCTTGTGGTGCTTTCTGTGGTGGGGGGGCATCATAGCTTTAAGCTCAAGGCACCCGCAGCCCCCTGAAGACATAAAGGAGTCACTCACGCAGGGCATTCCAGGGTGGGTTCCAAGCCCTCGTACCTACCTCTCTTGTCCCTTCCCTGGAACCCAGTGCAAAGTTGCTCACCTGATATCATAGCTGTACATGTCCTTCTCAGGATGCCCATGGATGATCCAGTGGGCAAGCTCCTTACCACAGCCGCCACCAAGCATCATTCCTGAGGGAAAGGAGGGAGTGATCCAGCCGTGCCACTGGGCCACTTTATACACATGTATCTTTGTTTTTATCTATTTCTATATATCTATTTCTGTCCTGCCATTTTGCCTGTGAGGAACCCAAGGTAGCTCACATAATCCTCTTCTTCCTCCCAACTTGATCCTTACAACAGCCCTGTGGGGCAGGCCCAAACGCGATGAGACTGGCCCAAATGGCCTTGGTGAGCTCCACGGCTGAGTCAGGACTCACATCCAGGTCTCCCAAGCCCCAGGCTAACTCTCTCACTGTTGCACCAAGCTCTACCGTGTAGTCATAATCGTTATGCCCCAGGGCCTCCCTCAGACAAAACCGCATGTTTCTGAAGCTCAGACATTTCTCTCCACCTTGAACCATCAGTCCCTATGGGCAGCTGCTCCTACATTCCCAATACTACATTCCCTACATTCCCAAAACAGAGCCTTTGCCATCCTGGTATCCTCCAGATGTTTTGGATTTCAGCTCCCATCAGCCTGAGCCAGCATAGTCAGCAGTTAGGAATTCTGGGACTTGTCATTTGAAATCTTTGGAGGGCAGTGGCTTGGCAAGACCTGCGTTAGAAGGCTTGCCAGCTCTACCTTTTAATAGGTTTTAAATAAACACTAAACAAGGGCACTTCTGCATTTCAAAGGACTGCAAAACCTTCAGACATTCCACCCCAGCAGCCCTTGCTGCCTGTCACTCTCTGGTCATTGCTGTCGCTGCTGTTGTGGGCTGGGAGATGGATGTTGGCTCCAAGGTCTCGGCCTAGCTTCACCCCTGGATGGCGCCTTGCCAGCTGGCTTCCCAATAGCCCCCCCCATCTGCCTTTCCTTGCCCAGTTCCCTGTTGCTGTTCTGCTGCCCATTCCCCGTTTCCAGGGCCAGAGTTTGCTCATTATATTATTTGATATGGGGCTCTCTGCCTGCTGTCTGGAGCCACCTTATTGCTACCTTTGCCTAGACATCCAAAAACCTTGTGGACCCAGAGGCGTGGCTCTCCCAGTCCTGCTTCTGCAGGGCAAAACAAGCCCTCAGGGACAGGTAGCTCTTGCTTAAGAAAACAGTTTGCCTCCTACCAGCGCTGTTAAAACCGCAGCCCAGGAAAAAGCCACGCAGCTCCGGTGCTTCTCCCATTAAGGGTTTGTGGTCAGCAGTAAAGGATTCTAGAACACAGAGAAGGACATGAGAGAATGAATCTCTTCATTAACACTTCCATAGAGAAGCTGCCCTTAGGCATGTATGGCAAGCTGCGATCCAGCTGGGTAAGCCCAGCTGCACACAACTGAACTCCTCTCCAAGTAAACATGAGAATTCAATGCACACAAGGAGGAGGACAGTAGCTCTGGGACAGAGCACCTTCCGGGTATGTAGACAGTCCTATGACAGCATATCTGGGTGTAGCTAGGAATGAACGCTGCCTGAAACTCCAGGAGGTGGCAGTGGCCATTACCTGAGCTGGCCCGGAATAAGACACCTTCCATTATCCATGTTTCAGTAGCTCCTCTGTCAGATGACTATTTTGCCTCTGTGTTGTCCCCAAAGCAGGGTGGGGGAAATCTACGTGGGGGACTGTATGAGGTCAGGGACAGATTAGAATCACCCCCTAGAAGTCAAGGAGCTCCTCAGGGCACTGGATGTTATAAGGTGCAGGGCCCTGATGAGTACACCCAAGAGTACTTCAGGAGTTGGTGGGGGTCCTCTTGTGCCCGCTGCCCTCCATTTTTGAGGCCTTGTGGAGAATGGGTGAGGATCCAGAGCGCTGGAGGGTGGCGTCAGTTTCCCAACTTTCAAAAAGGGTAGTAGAGGAGACAGGGGGAATTACAGGCCAGTCAGCCATATGCTCATTCTAGGAAAGGATCAAAATAGTGAGCAATCTAAGAACCCTACATAAGGAAGGGAGGTTGGCAGATTGAGGATGTGTCTGAGCAGATGATGGCCCTGCTCAGATGGGGCTGGTGTGCCAGACTGATGGGCCCATTGTCTGGCTGTTATCCCTTGCTGAGGCTCTTTTGAAACCAGACTGGACAACCCTTCTAACAGAGGATACCTTCAGGATACCTGACAGTCCTCTGCCAAGTACAGGTCCTCTGCTGAAGATGACACCTGGCCACCCTGGGCCAGAAAGTCCTCTTCATGACTCCACAGCTTGGCTCATGGGCCCACAATGGCAAGTAGTGCCAGACATAAGCGCACCCAGTGAAACCCCCTCCCAACAGGAAGGCATCTCCCTGCTCCAGGAGGGCTGTCAGGCCCAAAGAGTCTCTTAGGCAGCTTCTGGTCAGGAATGGGCAGGAAGGAGGCATCAGGGCTTCTCTCCTTTGACCACTGAACATGTTCACCTCCTCTGTTTTTGCAGCTGCTGCAAGTCTGGTTCTTTCTGAAGTGCAAGGAAGTGAATCAGACCTCTCAATGCCTCCAGGTTGAGAATGCTCAGCACTCCTCAAGTTGGACTGAAAACACTTCAGGGGTTATTATTCATGCCTCCAAAATTATTAGTTCAAAGCAGGGACCTCTGACTAAAGCCCACACACTCCAAAAATGGTCAGCCCACATTTCTCCTGCAACTAATATTTCTTTCCTTATTATAACTAATAATCATAATAGGAAACAGTGGGAGTGATCTTAACAACAATAAAAAGAGCTGAACCAGTTTCTGCAGGTAAAATTTATGAATTTCAGGATTTATATTCCTCCTTTGAAGTACAAATACTTCATGTAACTTTCTCCATTGGAGTTCAGTTGATCTTACAGGAATGCCAGGAGTTGCCATGGGTGGAGTCTGGCCTGCCTTGTTCTATCCAGGCTAGTCCTTCAGCAACAGCTGCTGGCAGCAGCTTTCTCCAGAATTTGGAAGGGTTCCTTCCTGGTGGGGTTACTGGGAGTCAAACTTGGGACCTTGTGGATGCAAAGCAGGGGCTCTACCACTGGGCTATGGCACCTCCCCCAAAAATAGAACAAGATTCTAGTCCTTGTGGTTTTTGAAAAAGATAATTTAAATAGGAACACAGGAAGCTGCCTGGCATGACACATCATGTTTGAACCCAGGACTCTCAGCACAGGCTGGTCCTAAGCTATGCAAAGCAGCAGCTCCCCCTCTGAGCTCAGCCCTCCAAACTTCACAAGGCCCGGGGCTGGCACAGTCCACAAGGGGCTCAGACAAGCACCTTTTCTCTACTCCTCCCACTCTGAATGAGAGTGGGGCACAAGCTCACCCCTCCACCACAGTGTGCAGGGCCAGGTACCTGGCAGCAGTGCAGAGACTAATGAGCCTTTCATTTGCTTCTCTGTTACTTCTTCATTTGAATAATACCCACAGGCACTGAAGCAGGCTTTGGATTGCAAGCTCCTTATCACAGGGAGCAGCTGCATTTACATCCTGCACAACCAAGGAGTCTGGCAAGTGCTGCCTTATTGCCATTTCTACCCCCTGTAGGGACAAGAGAGCAGATGATTTTCCAGCTTGGCTCTGTTCCCCCAAAGTAACATTCGTGCTCCTTTTGGTGCATTCCCATGTTTGTTTTCAACAGGACATACTGGCCTGATTTATGAACAGAGATGAAATTTTCCCTAGCACCTGCCTCCAGGAAAACAGGAGAGACATCTGACCACCAGTCATCTTTCCCTGACCCCTCAAGCCACAAGGCGACTGTGAAGCCAAGGACATCCCTCCTGGGGCAGAGCAGTCTTCTCCCCAGCCTGAATTGGTCTGCTTCCGGGCAGCAGCAGCAGGTTTAGTGACCACATGGCAGGGGGGAGTCCTGCAGATCAGGGAGTATATGCCATGCTACTTGCAGGAAGAAAAGAAAAATACCAATCACCATCCGCTCATGTAAAATAACTTAGGCCAGTCAGTGAGCCAACATCAGTATTTTACCAGGATGATGGGACTGTTTGGACTATTTTAGTTTGGGAAGCTGAGTGCAGGATGCTTCTGATTTCAGATTGCTAATCATGCAGAATAATTGCAGGCAAATATCTTTCATGATCGACAGCAAATTTTGATCAGGTCTTGGCTACATTTGAAATGGGTTATGAACTGTGAACACACTACTGCAATAAGATCTCATTTTAAACTATCACTCCCTAGGTCAGCACACGAAAACCACCAGAAAGCCAAATGCAACAGCAACACAGCTTTACACAGTCTCCAAAATAAACTAACAAGGATTTTTAGCTGGAAAAGAAAGAAGGAAAGACAGGCAGGCAGGCAGGCAAGCACGGAGGTGGTGAGTGTGCTAATGCGGCTGCTGGAGGCACTCCCCTCTCCTTGCAGCTGGGCACTCCAAGGTGCTTCTAAAGGGGAGGCTGTTGGGAGATTAAAAGGGAGGGACATCATAGAAGCTTCTCCTTATGCACCTGTAGAATCTCGTGCACCTGGTGCCCCACCCAAGATAGTAAGAAACCTGTCTGCAGAGGCAGGGGACTGAATGGGATCCACCCACCAGGCACATCATGTGCTGAGAAGGACCGACTGTGACAAAATTAGAGATATGGCATGGCTTATAATGACACAAAATACATCAGTGGGGAAGTGGAAAGGTTCTCTCTCTCTCTCTTTAAAAACTTCTTTAAAACAGTTACTTATTTTTATAGCCCTTAGGTGTTCTTACCTGGGCCACAGACAGTGGATTTGATCCCTGTGGTCTCCAGGATGGGGACGCGATTGATGGCTCCTTCAATGTGCTGCATGAACACATCCCAGTTCAGGTCAAAGAGGCCAAAGGCAAAATTGTCCAGAATCTGTGAGGGCAACAACGGATATAGCAAATGTGGGGTGTCCAGCACTCATGTCTTTGAGCAGGCGATTGGAGTTGGCAGGCTGCCTTTGCCACAAGCACGAGCTCACCCCCCACTGCATACATGCGGAGACATGATCCACCGCAGTCTGAGGGAAGATGGGCGCCCTCTGCAACCTGAGCAGCCAGAAACATGCCCTAGATTGGTGTGCCAAACGGAGGGAAATTTCATTTCAGAGATGTTCTTGGAGGTGGGGCTTAAGGCAAGGGAAGTGGGACTAAAAACAAAAACACACAGTCTATTGCAGCTTCACACTCTTCTCACCAGTAGCCATGTCTTCTCAACCTTTCAGGATGTGGGAAAGACTGCACAAAAGCAGGGAAATTACCAACGGATTGATAATAAGCTGATTTGTGGGCCTTTTTAGGTGAAGAACAAAAGAGCATAAGTAAATTAATCCAGGAAAGCTGGAAACTTGCTTCTTCACACCAGTCCTGGCCAATCCAGAGGCTCCTCATTGCTTGGCTGTTCCTGCAGCAGTTGTTGTGCACTGTGAACGCTCCTCTGTCACTGCAGAGCCCGAAGACACCCACACTGCCCAGGACGGTTTAGTGGACAACACGCCAAGTGGTGCTTGCCGGGATCTCTATGCAAGCCTCCGGACTCCACAAATGCCCCTGAAATGTAGGTCAGGGCGCTTGACAAAAGATCTCCAGGTGTTTTTGAGTTCAACTCCCAGAAGCCCCTGCTGGCATGGCCAAGGATCAGAATGCTGAGAGTTAATGCCCGCATTATCTGGAGATTGCACCTTCTCACAAAGATCTCTTGGAGCTTCTAAAATGCATGAGCTAAAACTCAGCTTCAGTGTGGTCTCAGCTGTCATGCTCTCTGGCAAACCTGTGGAGCCAGAAGCACTGAAGAGGTTCTCGTGCTAATAAACTCCTGCTTCAAAACAATCCCCCATCACTACCTCCCTAGAGAATGTGGTTGTTGTTGTTGTTACTATTATTAATTAAGAGCATCACTCACCTCCTCCCAGAAGATTGGATTTGACTCATATCCACCCACAGAAAGGGCATCGCCTTGGAGACGCAGATACACTGATGCATCGTGATCTCGAACATTTGGCATGTTCTAAAAATATCCAGAAAGGGAAACTATCAAAAGTGGGACAAAAAGGAGAAAAGGCCTCCACAGAAGCATGGAGTAGACTGGCATGGGGACCGTTGCAGGTCGGCACCTCAAAAGTCTGCAGTGTAAAAGGCAACAATGACAAAATGCATTTCCAAAGGGACACTGGCGAGCAAAGGCACACGGCTGTGGGCTCCCCCTTCAGCTTACTCTCGGGTCCTCCACCACACAATGTGTGAAAGAGTCCATAACGGTAAGGTTTCCAACATGGTGTCCATGCACACCTCTCCTGGCACCCACCAGACTCCCGGCACTACCTAATTTTTACTTTTTCTTAATTAATTGCTTTTGTAATTGGGAGGAAAGAGAATGATCTTTTAGCTTCACTAGAAGAAGACTTTACCTTCTAGGAAAAGAGTGCTTTATGATTCGCCACCCCATCCATGGCAGTCATTTTGTGAGCACCCATGGCATTCTCTCAGGATTGGAAAGTGCCCGCCATCCCCAAAGTGCAAAGTGCTTGGCACTCCCCTTTGCCCTCTTTTTGTTTGCTGGGTAATAAAAGTAGAAGCAGCACCTTTTACATAATTATTCTGCTCAGTGTTTGGCTGGGTTTGGGTCTTCTGACTCCGAGGAGAGTTTTGTTTCCTACCAAGGGAAACAAATTCATGCTGAGAAGAAGGGATACTTTTGCCTCTATGGGAACCAGCATTACTGGCCCATTAGGCCTGGCTTCATTTCAGAACAGAACCCCTGCTCTGAAAAATTAGCTGCTGATCAAGGTTTCAGCAAGCTGCCCTTTAGGCACTGGAAGCAGCAGCCCTTTTGAGTGAAATAGCTGAAAGGAACTCTCTCCAACCCCAGGCACAATTTTCCAGCAGGATGGGCAATTATTCAGTGGCCGTTTTGTGTTTATCCCTGCAATGGCCTTGTGAGGTGGGCTAGGCCAAGGATTGGTGAGTGACCCCAGGTCAAGGAGGGGGCGGACCTTGGGTCTCCACAGTCCAGCATGCCACACTGGCACAGCCTCCCTCTAACTGGTAAGCCATATTCTCATTAATTGCCCAGGACATTCAGACAGCTCAAACATCTCCAACAAGCATTAATAACATTCATCAGAGTATACCTGTCCCAAATCTAGGGGTTTCCCTTTACATTTAAATCTGTGGGTTACCAAAGTCCTTTATCCTTTAGGAAAGGAAAGGGAGTGAGGCAAGAAAGACCTCACACCGCACGATTTTTAGGCTCTGAGAGGTTCCAAGGAGCAATTTCTTGCCATGCAAAGTTCAGAGTGCCATTCAGAGGGACTTAGGAGGACATCTAGTGTCTGTTGGAGGAACAAGCTTTTCTGGATTGAATATTTCATTTTTATAAGGGTAACCTGCCTCTGCATATTTGCTGCCGGGGCCTTTTGCAGGAACAGGCCTGTGTAACATATCTCAAAAGGGTTCCAAATGCAAGATAAGGAACTGTAAGACTCCTTCTTTAACATGAGCTGTTGTTTTCTTGTTTTTGCTGTACTCAGTGAAGGGAATCCCACTTCCAAAGAGCTCACATGTTGCACAGTTTGCTTCAAGAAAGCAAGAGAAATCTGAGCAGGATAGGAATAACCCCTCCTATTTCTCCCATAGTATCAGTGAAACAAAAGCATATCCAGGTGTCACACATACTTGCTGCCACCATTTTGCCAGGAAAGGGCGAAAGGCTCAAAAAGGGCTGCATCTCTCTGAAATTCATTCCAAATTAAAACTGCAAGTGTGCCACACACTAGACTCTGCAAAGTAGTCACTGGGGTGCGTGAGAGACTCAAGGCACCTGCACAAACGAAAAGAAGCCCACCAAACAACACCATGCCTCTGGCAGGAGATTTTTGGTGACACTGCCAGGGACTGAACTGGGGGCATTCTGCACGCAAAGCAGAAGGGGGCCAGTGAGCTTAAAAGGGGGACCTGGGAACACAAAAAGCTGCCTTGTAATGAGTCAAAGATCTTGTCCATCTAGCTCAGTCTTGTTGACACTGACTGGCAGCAATGGCTCTTCAGTACTCCTAACCTTTAAGCTCTAGCCACTCTGCTGAAAAAGCAAGATTCACATCCTCACGATTCTGATGAGGGGGGCTGCTTTAAAGTGGATTTTAAGATCAGACACAGGGTCTGCCTAGCTCTATGCTGTCAATACCGCCTGCAGCAATCGTTCTCTAGGGTTTTCAGCAAAACTCCTTCTGAGCACTGCTTGGACATACATCTGGGGATGGAAGACCTTTTTGCCTACAAAATGCCACTAAGCTATGGGTGCTTCTGATGAATACAGAAAGCTGAAGTAGACCAAGTGCTGCAGACACTGACCAGCAACACTGGCTCTGCAAGGTTTCCGCCCTGCCTGAAGACGCTGACCAACATGGGGATGGAAGCAGAGGCCTTGCTATGGAAATGCAGCAGTTCCCCAGTTACACTTGGCAGTTCCTCAGTCCAGTGGGATTCAGTGATCATGTCTGCATTCAAAGTAGACAGAGATGTGGGAGACACGCCTGCCTACGTCCTTGCAGGGGCAGGCTGGAACAATCATTCACAGAAACTGCACGCCATGTCTTTGCCACGCGTCTCCACGTGCGTATGGTAGCAGCGCCAGCTGGAGCCAGGGTCAGACCAGGAGGCCCCTTCTGACTTGCTCTGTTCCTGCTCCTATGTTTCTCCTTTGGGCTGTTTGCAGCCTTGGCTAAGAAGTCATGCCTTTCTCACAGCACTCTAATGGTTCTTTGGGGATTCAGTAGTTCTGCTGGGACATGCCAAGGTTATTGCTGAACTGTTTCTGCGTTTCTATACATTGTCATCCTGGGACTGCTGGGTAGTTAAGGGGACAGAACTTGGCTTCTGTATTACTAGAAAAAGCTTCTGAGAAGATTTCCCTCTTATTGTTGATCTCAGTATCCTGCCCTTCAACCTGTATATACCCAGGGCAGTCAGCAAGAAAGGGAAACCTAGCAGTACCTTGGAAACTGAAGGCACAAATCCAGGGATGCTTGCACATAAAAAGGTCCCACAATTCCCAACATCTCCCAGCCAGCCACATTAGCCAGAGCAGGCTGGCAGCTGTAGGGATTTTTGCTGATTCTTCTGCCTAGTTTTGCCTAGGATTGCGCTATAAAAGTGCTGTATTAGAAGGCACAGAACTTAAACCCAAATGATAAACTGACCTGGATTCCCTCGATCCTCTCAGTCACCACATAGGCATGATGCATTGCTACCAGGGGCACATGGACACCTGCCATCCTGCCCAGGCTCTGGGCCCACACACCTGTTGGAGAGCAAAGGCTGATTACTGAATGACCACAGCAGTTGGGAGCACCATCTTCTGCAAAGGTTACTGATGCAGGAAGCTTGCTTTCAATTCCTGGTTCTCTTTTCCTCCTCTTTTTAAAGAGAGCCATGCGGCTAACGGTGGGGTGGGGGTGGGGGTGGTTAGAACTCCAATAATTAATACATAAAGAAGGAAGCTGAAAGGGAAACATGTTGATGCCAAAACTGCTTCCAAGGCAACACCTGGAGGAAAAGAGTCCAGGGCCCCAGCTTTTTGCCCTTGCACACTCTGAGGAGCAACTGGAGTGCACAGGAATTAAATTCTACGCAGCACAGAAATCAAGTGCTAAGTTTTGCGGCAGAGCCAGGGCTTGCAGCATCAAAATGTTGGTCCTTCCTTCTTGGCATCACCTGCCACTGCCTTGGGCCTCTGTTCCCCTTAGTTAAGCTGCAGTCCTGACAGAAGAGGATAGCATGGGGGGTTTCCTTTGCTAGATTCCTCAGATAGAATCAGGGCAGACACCAGCTGAGGTTCTGTAGCTCTGGACTTCCTCATCAACCAGAGGGTGGGCAAAGTGGCCTCTGAGGAACCCCACTTGTTAAGTGATGCCAAGATCTGAAAGCCCAGGATAAGTGCACAAGCCCCACGCCACCTGGGTCTTGGAGTGCTGTCGCCCTGGAAATTACGGGCCTTCCTGATACTTCTGGCAGTGGCCTCAGACTGGGACATTGGCCTGAAGGAAATACTCAGCCTCTAAGCTCAGACACCCAGCAACTGTGGGATGACCCTGCACTGTGTGGGGTGCTAATGCGTCCAGAATCCCACTGTCATGCACAGAAGAATCAGTACGATGCCTGAAGCAACTGTCCCTTGATCCGCATATTTTAATTAAGCTGGGAATTCTGAAAGAGAGCGAGCGAGCGAGAGAGCACTTCTCTTCGGAGGGGTGCAAGGGGGGAACCAGAGAGTCTGAAACCAGTGGGGCTCTGCTGACATGGCTATTTATTTATACATACATACATACAACTTATATGCCGCCCCATCACATGAGCCTCGGGGTGGCTTACAATCATTAAAGGGGGAACGATCCTTGTTCCCCTTGTGTTCGATCCTCATTCACTTTTGTGGCCACTGCTAGCCCTGTGCAAACAGGAAGCTACACAAATCAGAGACCAAATGGGCAATTTACACAACTAGAAACATAGAAACACAGTGAGTCAGAAGGGGTCTCCCAGGCCATCTAGTCTGACCCCCGCCTCCAGCCGGCTCCACTCACAACATGGAAGAAGGGGTGAACAGTCTGCTGATCAAATTCGCAGACAACACTAAAACTGGAGCAGTGGCCACAACTGAGGAGCAGGTACTCCAGATCCAAAAGGATCTGGACAGACTATGGAAGTGGGCAGGAGACAACAGGATGGCGTTCAATGTGGATAAGTGCAAGGTCTTGCACTTGGGGCATCGGAATGGGTGTCATAAGTGCAGGTTAGGTGACAAGTGGCTGGAGAGCAGCACTTGTGAAAGGGACCTCGGGGTGCTGGTTGACTGCAGGCTGAACATCAATAGGGCAAACACCACCCTTGGTTGCATAGCCAGAAGTGTGGCTTCTAGATCAAGAGAGAGATTACTACCACTCTACACGACTCTGGTGTGCCTGCAACTGGAGTATTGTGCTCAGTTTTGGGCCCCTCATTGCAGAAAGGATATAGCCAGGTTAGTGTCAGTGCAGCATAGGGCCACAAGGTTGGTGTCAGGTTTGCAGGGGATGGGGTATGAGGCGAGACTGAGGGAACTGGGTCTCTTCAGCCTGGAGAAGAGGAGACTCAGAGGGGATATGTTGGCAACATACAGGTATGTGAGGGGGTGTCACAAGGAGATGGGTAGAGACCTGTTCTCCCCTGCAGAGGAAGGCAGAACGCGCTCCAACGGAGCAAAGCTCAGGGAGCCCAGGTTCCATTTGGATGCCAGGAAGCACTTCCTGACAGTCAGGACCCCGAGGGTGTGGAATGGGCTTCCACGAGAGGTTGTTGAGGCCCAATCGGTGCGGGTGTTCAAGGATAGGTTCAAGGATAACCATGCCCTAATCCACCAGACAGTGCTTTGGTGTATCTCAAAACTCTTTTCCTCCAGGTGTTGCCTTGGAAGCAGTTTTGGCATCAACATGCTTCCCTTTAAATTGGGACCACTGATGCCACCCTTCAGTCCTCTGGGACTTCACCCATTCTCCACGAGGTCTCAAAAATGGAGGCTAGTGGGCGTGAGAGAACCCCTGCCAACTCTCAAAGTACTCTTGGGTACTTTGGGTTACAAACCCATCATGGCCTGGCCCCTTGGTAATGTCCTATGCCCTGAGGAGCCCCTCCCGACTTCTAGAGGGGGTAACTCTAATCTGTGCCCCTAAGTCCCCGGCCTCATCTAATCCTCCACCTTGCTTTGGAGAGAACACAGAGGCAAAATAGTCATTTAGCATCTGTGCCTGTTCCCTCATATCAGTCACTGGATCTCCTTCCTCCTTATTTAGTGATCCCACCACTTGTCTCCCCTTCTTCTTCCTTTTTACATGCTGAAAAGAAGCCCTTTTGGTTGCTCTTGATATTCTTGGCAAGTCTCAGCTCGTAATCAGCCTTAACCTTGGGAAGAATCCTCCTGCAACGGGCCTCCTCCTCCCGGTATACCCTTTTGTCTATTTCCCCCAGTACCCATTTCCTATGGAGGTTCCTCTTGCATCTAATCCCTCTAACCACCTCCTTTCGCATCCAGGTCGGCGCTCTCCTCCACCTCCCCACCTTACTGACTAGAGGAATCGTCAAGGCTTGCGCCTCCAAAACCTCCCTTTTGAGTGCCACCCACCCCTCCTCAACTCGCTTGCCTTCCAGTAACCTCTCCCAGGGGACTTTCCCCAGTCTGGCCTTCAGTTGGCCAAAGTTGGCCCTCTTGAAGTCCCAGCTTCTAGTGCTCGACCTGCTGCCCGTCCGCAGTCCCCTGATCTCAAAGCAAAGGATGGAGTGATCACTCGCATCCAGAGCTCCCCTAATCTGTATTTCATCTATCAGCTCCTCTCTATTGGTCAAGACCAAGTCAAGGATGTTTTCCCCCCTCATCGCCTCTCAGACCCTCTGTGTGAAAAACCCTCCCTCTATAGCTTCTAGAAAGCGATGTGACCTGGCTGCCACCACCGAGTGAGTCTCCCAAGTAATATCCAGGAGACTGAAATCTCCCATAATTACTGTGTCTCTCCCCCAAGATATCCTTAGAATCTGGTCTGTCAGGACATCATCCAGGGTCTCAAGTTGACCTGGAGGGCGATTACATACCCCCACTGTCAGGTCTCTTTCCCTGTCAAAACCCCTAAGTTTCATCCAGACTGCCTCTCCCGAATTCCCATCTGTTCTGCATTCTATCTCACTGCATCCTATCCCTTCCCTGATGTATAAAGCCACGCCCCCACCCCTCTTTCCCTTCCTGTCCTTTCTAAAAAGATGATACCCCTCTATGTTTACATTCCAGTCATTCCTTTCATCCCACCAAGTTTCCATGATCCCCACCAGGTCATACCCTCCTATTCCCAGGAGAGCTTCAAGCTCTTCCTGCTTGTTACCCATGCTCCTAGCATTGGTGTACATGCACCTCAACTCCTTCCCACCACTTCCTATCCTTGGAGTTCCCAGCCTCCTCCTTCCTCCCATCCTCCCGGATACCTGTCAGTCCCTGCAGTACCTCTAAAACCCCGCTCCCAGAGTCCTGATCCCCTCCCCACACTTGTCCAGTGCAGACACATTTCTGGGGGGCCTGAACCCAATCCCTCCCCCCGGCTCAGTTTAAAGTCTTCTGGACGAAGCTCGCTAGAGCGTCTCCAAAGGACCTTTTCCCCATCTTCGTGAGGTGCAACCTGTCCCTTGCCAGAAGTCCATTGGCAAGAAACTGGGTGCCATGGTGGTGGAACCCGAAGCGTTTCTTCTGGCACCACACCCTAAGCCAGTCGTTCACCTCGGCGACCCTCCTGTCCCTGCCTGGCCCAAATCCCCAGACTGGGAAGACAAATGAAAAGGCCACTTGAGCCTTTAGGTCCCTGAGTTTCTTCCCCAAGGCCTCGAAGTCCCTGGTGATCCCGACCACCCTCTGCCTGGCCACGTCATTTGTCCCCACATGGATCATCAGGAGCGGCTGGTGACCCCCGGAGCAAACAAGACACTCCACTCTGTCCTTCACATGCCGGATGCGTGCGCCTGGCAGGCAGCAAACCTCCCTGGTCTCCAGGTCGGGGCGGCACACCACCGCCTCAGCGCCCCTCAGCAGGGAGTCCCCAACAACAATCACCCGCCACCGTGTCTTCCCGGTGCTGGTGGGCGGCCGTGCCCTGGCCCTCGCCTCTCCTGCAGCGGCCCCCTTGCCGCTTGTGGTCCCAGGCTGGGGGTCCTGCTGGTCCCCCGAGGCCTCGTCAGCCCCAGCCTCCCCAAGCGGAGAGAACCTGTTTCCCAGCTCCCGATCGGCACCAGGAGGAGGAGGAGGCTGTGCTGCCTCCTCCTCCTGTGGGTGACATGCTTCCACGTCTCCCCGGCTGCTCCTCCCGCGGCCTCTCCCTCGACCCTCTGTCCAGAGGGGGGCTGCTCCCGGGGGGCCTGGAGAGCTCTCTCGGCCCTCAGGCACCTCAACTCCTCAGAGGAGTGCAAACTTATTAATTCATACACAGATTAAAGCAGGGCTGATGAAACTAGGAATCCGGGTGCAAGGAGGTGTTTGCGGTGTTGTGGTTAGTTTGGTGGACTTGTGTTCAGAGGCCTGGATGGGGCATGCTCATGTGTTGCAAGAGTAAACCACATTCTCACGCCTCTCTGGCCTTTCCCACCCACCTGCACAATTCACCACACAGGGTGTCTGGATGGCTCCATTGTCCGTCACCACGGCTGACACCCTTCGGATCCCCAGGTCATCTGTTCTAACCTCAATGCCCGTCACAGGGCAGTTCTCAATAACCTAGAAAAAGGAAATGAGTCATGTGTCCATAAAATGACCCCCTGCCCATCCTCAGAATGGCTATCAGGGCATATGTGGCCAGGTGTCTCTTCTCAGAGGGCAGTCCTCTGCTGGAATTGTTGCTTTGCTGATTCTAGTTTCAAGATGGGAACCTTTGCACATCATCAGTTCGCAGCACCTGGGCAGCAGGTGGGATAGCTTGCACACTGCTTGTGTGTTCACGCTCTTTCATTGACTGGTGAGACTGACTGGCTGTCTATCCAGACTGCAGAAATAGTTCCGAAAATGCATGCACACGTATTATTCATGCATGCAAATTCTGTGCAAACTAGCGTTCTCTTTCATCCTCTCTTTTGCTGAGGTCTTTCCTCTACATGGAGAATCCACATGTGGTCAGTTTAGGATACGCAGGCACCTTGGAAGCTGCCCCAGGCAAAATGAGACCCCTGCTGGTCCATCTAGCCCAGTGCTGGCAGCAAGGATTCCCCAGGGTTCCAGGAAGGTATTTTTCCAGCCCTGCCTGGAGACGCTGCCAGGAGCAAGCCAGAAACCTTCTGCAAGCAGAGCAGGACCCCCGCTGCAAAGCCACAGCCCCCGAGAGTTCCTCAGCGCAGCTGTGGCTGAGGCCCCCCAGTAAAGCAGCCACAGCATGTGCCTATTGGCAGCTGCTAATCTTTTACTACTGTTCTGGGCACATGGTTCTCTCGGAGTGCTTCTTGGACAAACATTTGTTTGTGCAGGGTTTGCTCAATGGACTTTCAATGGCTTTTGCTTCTGCTGGCGGTAACTGTGGGGAAACAACATGATGGAACGCCATTACCTGAGCTCCCAGGCCGCTGGCTGCCCGGGCAAGGGTCGAGCAGGTCCCAGCAGGATCCATCGTACCATCCTTGGGGACATAGAGAGTGCCACAGAGGTCATCCACATTCATCAAAGGGTACAACTCTTTCGTTTCCGCGGCAGACAGGATGTATGACTCAATGCCGTAGACTTTACCCAGCTGCAAAGACATTAAAAGAATGGGCATTTCAGCAGGAGTTGGGCCAGGGGCTCTCAAACTGTTGCTGATAATTCTGGGGCTTCCTTGGGAGACCAATTTATTTTGAAGGATTTATAAGCCAGCCTTCATTATAATGATTACAGATTATAGATTAAAATCCTTGCACCAAGATTAGAAGGCCTGGAAAAATAAAAAGGGCATTATCGGTATCCAAAACCGGCCAAGCTGAATGCTTCTGAAATGTAAATTTCAGCTTAAAGGGAGTGTGGTGAGGGGATAACAGTAGCTGTCACTGGGAGGAGGCAAGACTTGCTGGCCATGGCTGTCTAAAGAACAAATTAACAGAACACCTTTTCTTGATCAAGAGTGTTTAGCCAAGTTGCCAAGTTCAGACTTACAGACATGAGTCTTTTGTATTCATCTAGTCGCTGCTTGTTGGATGCAATGAAGAGGCCACCGTTTTGGATCCAGCCCGTGTCGAGCCCTGTCTCCTGCTCCAGCTGCTGGCTGACCACATCTCGAGTGTAAGCCAGCAGCTCCACCTCCACATCGCTGGGACGCAACTGCCACAGCAGACCTAAGGGAAGCAGAGGCTTCATGTGTCAAAGAGAAACACCGCTTGGCAGGGCGAGACCTTCCCAAAGTCATTCCCAACATGCATGTCCCAGGCGTGACTGACATTTCCTGGGCATTTTGGCGTGGGGGGGGGGCTGCCCCTGAACAACTGCAGAATGCTGCCACCCAGAGAATATTGTGTAACATGGCACACTTTCTCCATCCCGCCGCTCTTGTCTGCTCTTCAGCCTCCCCTCCGACTTACCGTGCAGCCCTGCGCACATGCAACCTGCTTGTTCTCCCAGCCAAAGTGCAGCAGAACCAGCGCTTTGGGGGAAATACACATTGCACACGTGTTGCTGTGGCAGCAGCTGTTGCACCACAGCACACAGATTGGGTTCAGGTAATACGAAAAGCCAGCCACCACGTCTGGCTGGGTTATGTGAACCCAGTCACAGGCCAGGCTCAGATGTCACAGAGGAAAAAGTTACGACAGTTTCTTCCCATCGTGTGCCACTCACGGGTCACAGGGGTTCCCAAATCACCCTTATGGCCCCCACCTTCCTGTGCCATCTGAATCCAGCAAGGTGCACAGCCGGGGAGAGCTTCCACCCCAGAACCCATGGCTTGTTGTAGGGTTCTGGGGTGGTTGCTAAGCTGGTTATCCCCAGCTCTGCGGCTTGCTAGGTTGGCATCACAACAGATTCCTGCCCATTGCAAACATGCCCAGATGCATCAGGTGGGGAAATGCCTTTTCACCTCACTCTGGTTGCACTGGGCACATTTAGGGCAAGCGAAGAGGACAGGATCCTCCTGAGTCAGTGCTTTGCTCTGCTGAGTCCAGTATCACCCACACAGACAGGCTGCTGCTCACTGCAGGATGCCCTGTCTGTCTGAGCCCTACCTAGGGATGGTGCCAGGGCCTGAACCTGGCAACTTCTACACACAAAGCCAGGATTCTGCTGCTGAGCTATGGCCTCTCCCCTAAAATAAGGCAGGATTCTAGCTCACAGTGTTCTGATGAAGAGCTCTTTGGGGTTTCAGGCAGGAGTTTATCCAGCCCTACCTGGAGAGGCTGCCTGAGGTCAGACCATGAACCTTCCCAATTCTGAGCAGGCACTCCACCATGGAGCCCTTGCTTGAGGCCACCCCAATCCATCCCATGATGGCAGGAGTGGCTTCCCTGCTTGTGGCTTGTTCATACACCCAGTGCCCACCTTTACCTGCAGTGTGCCAGGTAGTGCCAGACGTCAAGCGGTGCCTTTCCAGTAGCACAACGCTGGTCAGCCCCATCTTGGCCAGGTGATAGGTGGTCTGGCATCCAATGCTGCCCCCCCCAATCACCACAACATCTGCTGAAGCTGGGAGGGGCTTGGTGGGCCCAAGCCCTCGTGGGGCTTGTTCCTTCAGTGTCCTCTGGTACGGGACACTCTTTTCTGGTGGCTGCCCCGTCCCACTGCTGAACCATCGGATGCTTCGCCCAGAGGACAGGGGCTGAATGGAGGAGGCCATTTGGATCACACGCCTCAGGTGGGCCATGGCAACCTGGATGGCAAGAGATGGGGAATGCAGCTCATCAGCCTTGGGCAAACTGCTCTTTATTCATTAATAATGCTCTTTCACCCTCCTCCTCTTTCCAAACAGCTCCCAGAGTGGCTTAAAAAGTTTACTAATGAGAAGTGCTTGCCCTCAGGATTACAGCCCACAAGGCAGTTTGGAATTAGGACAGCAGAGGTAAAAAGTAATATTCAGCACTATAATTATTCGGTTTCTATACTGCTCTAATAACCTGCAAGGATCTCTGGGTGGTTTACATAATAGGCAGTTAACAAGAAACTGATGAATAAAGCAATAGAATATAACACCAATAGCATATAAATAACATTGGAACAATAACATTTATTCCTTCCCTCCACAAAAAGCCTGATACCTGAAGAGCACCCAATACTTCTAAGCAGCACTAGTTCTTAATGTTAAAGCTGGTGCTGGTTCTTACAAGGAACTGTGACCCAAGTCCCCTGCAGTGGTGCTGCTTCTTACTAAGGCAAGGGCAGGCTGGTCTCTCCCGTAGCCACGACATTCCTTCTGGTGTAGGACATGGACTTGGAGCTCCACTTGGAAGCCACTGGCCACAGGGCCTTTTGTGTGGTGTCTCCTACAGAAGGCTCTTTTCCTACAGAACGATCAGGCTTGTACCTATGCTACTCTGTTTCTGGCATCTGCTGACCCTCGGCTGGACCTAACTTATAGGGTTGTTGTGAAGGTGAAATGGAAATGGAAAGGAGGGAGTACCATGTAAGCCACCATGGTCTCCTTACATAAGAGGAAAGGACAAGATATCCATGAAATTGTAACAAATAGAGCACTAAAACCAGATCACTAAAATGGTGTTATGGGGTTCTGAGAACACTACTCAGGAATTAGAATAACTGCTTAGCCAGCCTGGAAACCCCTTGGAAGTTTCCCTGCTGCTATGGAACCTGCTGAACCTCCCTAGCAGCCAGCTGGAGCTGCTCCCTTCAGCTCCCCTGACCTCTTCCTCATCTTCCTTGGTCTTCCACCTCAAAGGACCAGCCCACAAATGGTGTGGCTGCCCAGGAATGCTGGATTCCCTCAGTCTTCTCTGTTGAATGTCTGCTCTTTTTGCGAAAGCATTACACTGGAAGTGTTTTGCTGCCATTGGTGGCAGGGGTGTGCATGTGAGATGATATAGCCAGAAGCCAGGTGTGTTCCCCAGGAGCTGTATCACAGCTGCCACCAGACAGTTCTGCTTTGCTCCTCTTCCAGTGTCCCAATCATAAAACCTTTTTCAGTCACCTCTGTCAGCTGCATGGCTCACAATGACCTGTTGGATGGAAGAGGATTGTGCAGTGCTCTGCAGTGCTCAGCTCTGGCCACCATCTTGTGCAACCAGGAGAAACAGGGCAGGCCTGGTGCAGAGGATGCAGAGGATCCAAGAGGCAAGAGGGAGGGTTTTTCACACAGAGGGTCTGAGAGGCGATGAGGGGGGAAAACATCCTTGACTTGGTCTTGACCAACAGGGAGGAGCTGATAGATGAAGTACAGATTAGGGGAGCTCTGGATGCGAGCGATCACTCCATCCTTTGCTTTGAGATCAGGGGACTGCGGACGGGCAGCAGGTCGAGCACTGGAAGCTGGGACTTCAAGAGGGCCAACTTTGGCCAACTGAAGGCCAGACTGGGGAAAGTCCCCTGGGATAGGTTACTGGAAGGCAAGCGAGTTGAGGAGGGGTGGGTGGCACTCAAAAGGGAGGTTTTGGAGGCGCAAGCCTTGACGATTCCTCTAGTTAGTAAGGTGGAGAGGCAAAGGAGAGTGCTGCCATGGATGCAAAAGAGGTGGTCAGAGGGATTAGACGCAAGAGGAACCTCTGTAGGAAAAGGGCACTGGGGCAAATAGACAAAAGGGTATACCGGGAGGAAGAGGCCCGTTGCAGAAGGCTTCTTTGTAAGGCTAGGGCCGATTATGAGCTGAGACTTGCACAGAATATCAAGAGCAACAAAAATGGTTTCTATCAGAGGATGTCTGCTATCACCATTGTTATTCATATTGATTTTAGAAGTGTTAAATAGAAATATTAGAGATGATATGGATATTAAAGGTGCTAGAATTAGAGATGAAAGCTATAAATTGCAAGCATTTGCAGATGATCTAGTTTTTATTCTAGAGGAAACTTTGGTAACAATATCTAAACTTTTACAAAAGATAGAAGAGTATGGTGAAGTTACTGGGATGAAAATAAATAGAGAAAAGATGAAATTGCTAGTGAAAAATCTCACACTGGAGCAGAGAATAACTTTGACGGAACAAGTAGATCTTCAAATTGTTAAAAAAGTTAAATATCTGGGAATTTTTCTTACAGCTAAATGTACTACATTGAAAGAAGATAATTATAATAAACCACTTAAGGAAATTAAGAGTGATCTGGAAAAATGGGCTAATTTGCAACTATCATTGTTGGGAAGAACAGCAATAGCTAAAATGAATATATTACCAAAGTTCTTATTTTTATTTCAAACAATTCCCATAAAAATTGATAAAAAACTTTTTGATGATCTAAACACCCAAATTTTGAGATTTGTATGGCAAAAGAAGAAACCAAGGATTAGATTAAAAATGCTTCAGGAGGTCAAAGGGAATGGGGGGTTTTGGTCTGCCTGACTGGATGCTGTACTATCAAGCTTCTGTCTTAACGTGGCTAAAAGAATGGATAATGTTAAAAAATAAGAGAATCCTTTATCTTGAAGGGCATGTTCTACAAATGGGTTGGCACGCTTATATGTGGTATGAGAAGTAAACATAAAGAAGTGTAAGACACATGGTTGTTTTTTAAATCATTATATTAGAAAGTCATTAATGTCGGTGTGGGAAAAATTAAAGACAAAACTGTACACTAAGTTGCCAAGATGAATTTCGCCTATGAAAATTCTTGCATATCCAAATGCATTGAATTTTGATATGATTGTGAAATATGATGATATTTTGGATAATGATGGAGGATTGAAATCGAGCCAAGAATGACAAGAGCAGGGTATTAATACCTCTTGGTGGCATAAGTTTCAAATACAATCGAGATATGTTAAAGATTATAAAATGTGGGGTTTTCATAAGGAGTTAACAACATTTGACCAAGTGATCTTAAAATCAGATGAGAATTTGATTAAAAGACTGTATAATTTTCTTTTGGATACAAGAATGGAAGATGAACAAGTTAAGGAAACTATGATAGCATGGGCACAAAATTTTGGATATAATGTTGAGTTATAGAAATGGCAAAAGTTGTGGGAAAGAAATATCAAGGTAACTTTAGCAACCTCATATAAAGAAAATCTCTATAAAATGTTTTATAGATGGTATTTATTGTCAAATAGAATAGCAAAGATGTTTTCAAATATGTCAAATGGATGTTGGAAATGCAAATATAAACCTTTTATCATATGTGGTGGACTTGTGATAAGACAAAAAAATATTGTGCTAAAATTCATAAATGGCTTGAGGAAATGTTACAAAAATCTTTAATATTTAAACCTGAAGTTTTTTTACTAGGCAGTGTACCTGATGATGTCGATAAACAAGCTATGTATTTGATTTTACATGTAATTACTGTGGCAAGGATTGCATTTGCCCAGCATTGGAGGAGTGAAGAACCACCCACTGATGAACTGACTTTAAAAAAGATTCTGGATTGGGCTGAAATGGACAGACTGACTTTGTCTCTGAAGGAGAAAGAGGATACATCGATCAAACATGGAACTTTTTATCACTAGCTAGAGAAACGGGACTATGCGTAGATTTGAATATATTTACAAACTGTTATAAAAAAAAAATGGGGGGCTGACCCAGCAGGTCTGATGTTTCTGATGACTGATGTGTTTTAGTTTCTTTTTTAGTTTGTAGAAAACAATAATAAAATTTATTCCAAAAAATGGTTTCTATCAGCATGTAAATAGCAAGAGGAAGGGGAGACAGGTAGTGGGACTGCTTAATAAGGAGGAAGGGGATCCAGTCACTGATGTGAGGGAACAGGCACAGATGCTAAATGACTATTTTGCCTCTGTCTTCTCTCCAAAGCAGGATGGGGGAGATGCACATGGGAGATTGGATGAGACCAGGGACTTAGGGGCACAGATTACAGTCACACCCTTAGAAGTTGACGGGCTCCTCAGGGCACTGCAGGTTACAAATGTGCCAGGCCGATGGGTTACACCCGAGTAACCTAGAAACAGAGCAAGTCAGAAGGGGACTCCCGGGGCATCTAGTCTCACCCGCGGCTCCAGCCAGCTCCGCTTACGACATGCCCACCATGTGCATGTCCAGCCTATCTATGAACACCCCCACCGATGGGGCCTCAACAACCTCCCGTGGAAGCCCATGCCACACCCTCGGGGTCCTGACTGTCAGGAAGTGCTTCCTGGCATCCAAATGGAACCTTGGCTCCCTGAGCTTTGCTCCATTGGAGCACGTTCTGCCTTCCCCTGCAGGGGAGAACAGGTCTCTACCCATCTCTGTGCCAACATCTGAAATATGATCATGTTATGAAACCGGTGATGAAGGCTATTAATTATATTTACTCCAAAGCCCTGTGCCACCGCCAGTTTCAACAGTTTCTACTCGACATCCAGGCTGAATACGGAGATGTTGTGTATCACAACAAGGTAAGATGGCTCACTTGGGGGTCTGCACTGCAGCGCTTCTACTCTCTTAGGGAGGAGATCGGACAATTCTTGGCAAAAAAGGGACAACCGATGCCAGAGCTATCTGATCCTGTTTGGCTGGCTGATTTTGGATTTTTAGTTGACATAACACGACATCTGAACGTGCTGAACACGAGCCTTCAGGGGCAAAATGCCCCTGTAGCCAACTGTATTCACATATCAAAGCCTTTGGGACCAAGCTGCTACTTTTCCAAAGGCATCTGTCACAAACGCAGCCCAGTACCACACATTTCTGCAGGATGCTGCAGGAAATAATGACCAGTTTTCCACAGAACAATATGAGTGCGCAAATAAGGAGGTATGAAGTGGACATCTCATCTCTGGCTGAGGCGTTTCAACAGCGCTTTCGGGATTTTGCAGCTATTGAAAAGGAGATCAGGCTTTTTTCATCTCCTTTTCTCTGTGGACCCTGATGATGCTCCAGACCACCTGCAGCTGGAGCTCATTGACTGTCGCAGTCGGCACCAACAGCTCCCTCTTGTCAACTTTTACCGCCAGCTGGATACAGACAGGTTCCAAGAGATTCGAACATTTGTAAGAAAATGCTGAGCTTGTTTGGTTCGACATACTTGTGCGAGCAGACATTCTCGGTTATGAACAAGAACCGCGTGAGGATGAGACTAAGTGACTTTCACCTGCGTAACATTTTGTACATCACAACCACTGTTTTGAGCCAGACCTGGCCTATATAATGCAGTCAGGATCTCAGTATCACCCTTCACATTACTGCAGTTAAGTTATTTGTTTAGTCTTTCATAAAATAGTTCATTTGCATTTAATGTTAATGGTTCAAAGAATGTCAGGCTGAATGGTCGGCCCCACACATTTTCACCTCACCAAATCTGGCCCTCCTTGCAAAAAGTTTGGACACCCCTGTGCTAACTGTCCAAACTGTCAGGAAGTGGTTCCAGGCATCCAAATTGAAGCATGGTTCCTTGAGCTTGGCTCTGTTGGAGCACATCCTACCCTCCTCTGCAGGGGAGAAGAGGTCTCTGCCCACCTCTGTGTGACACCCCCTCACATACCTGTATGTCGCCAACAGATCCCCTCGGGGTCTCCTCTTCTCCAGGCTAAAGAGACCCAGTTCCCTCAGTCTCGCCTCATACCACATCCCCTGCAAACCGGCCACCAACCTTGTGGCCCTATGCTGCACTGACACTAACCTGGCTATATCCTTTCTGCAATGATAGGCCCAAAACTGAGCACAATACTCCAGTTGTGGGTGCACCAGAGTCCTTCAGAGTGGTAGTAATACCCCTCTCGATCTAGAAGCCACACTTCTGGCTATGCAACCCAGGGTGGCGTTTGCCCTCTTGGCCACCGCATCGCACTGCTGGCTCATGTTCAGCCTGCAGTCAACCAGCACCCCGAGGTCCCTTTCACAAGTGCTGCTTTCCAGCCACTTGTCACCTAACCTGTACTTACGACACCCATTCCGATGCCCCAAGTGCAAGACCTTGCACTTATCCACATTGAACGCCATCCTGTTGCCTCCTGCCCACTTCGATAGTCTGTCCTGATCCTTTTGGATCTGGAGTACCTGCTCCTCAGTTGTGGCCACTGCTCCAGTTTTAGTCTGTGAATTTGATCAGCAGACTGTTCACCCCTTCTTCCATGTCATTAATGAAAAGATTAAACGGGATCAGCCCGAGGATAGAGCCCTGGGGGACCCCGCTTGTCACTGGCCACCATCCTGATGATTCCCCACTAATGGTTACCCTCTGCTTTTGGTCAGTCAACCATGCCCTAATCCGCCGGACAGTGCTTTGCTGTATCCCAAAACTCCTCAGTTTCTCCACCAGAATATCATGGGGAACTTTGTCAAAGGCCTTGCTGAAATCCAGGTATACCACATCCACTGCATCACACGCAGGTGGGTGGAGACCTGTTCTCCCCTGCAGAGGAGGGCAGGACGCGCTCCAATGGAGCAAAGCTCAGGGAACCAAGATTCAGTTTGGATGCCAGGAAGCAGTTAGGACTCTGAGGGTATGGAATGGGCTTCCATGGGAGGTGGCTGAAGCCCCATTGGTGAGTGTGTTCAAGGATAGGCTAGACATGTGCATGGTGGGCATGTCATGAGTGGAACCAGTTGGAGGCAGGGGTCAGACTAGATGGCTCGGGAGACCCCTCCTGACTCGCTTTGTTTCTATGTTTCTCAGAGTTTCTGCCAAATTATGTGGGCCAAAGTGCCGCATTGGACCTGTGGGTGGGATTCCAGGGATTTCTTCTCCCTGCCAAGCAAGTGCTATGCCATGGAAACAGCGCTTCACCAGGAAGCAGCAGTAAGCTGGTCTGAAAACTGAACCTACATACATGCTAGAGGCGGACTGCCCATTCGTATTACAGGTGCTGGCAAAGAGGAAAGATGCATTCCAGGCCATGTACAGATGTTCCCAGTTTATGAACTTAGTACTTCAAGATACACTCAAAACCAGCCAAGTGTTTTAGTCCAAGAGCAAACATTCCCTTTGGCCAACCTGTCCTGATGCAGCAGCTCCGCCATCGATCCAGCCAATGAGCCAGCGGAGTGTGCACCCAGGTCTCCCACATGTTGAAACCAGGGGTGACACCGGCATGGGTGCATGCCACAGAACTTCACTCCACTGCAGTTCCCACACAGGCACACACAAAAGCATTTACACATGCTGTTCACATTTTACAGAAGGACATATGGAGCTAAAACGGTGGTGGCACGTTTTCAACTGCAGGTGCTCAGAGCAACAGCTGCCAGACTTCCAGAGAGTTCAGACACACAAGCTGCTCTGTTCATTCTGGCCATTTTCTTCCCCGACAGAAACAGGCCTTTCCTATAGCTGAGGGGTCCGAATTGCCCACTGAAGCCCAACCCAACCCAACCCCAAACACTTGGCATCGCAACAAACCCACATACTGTTTTTGGGGGAATTCATTTCTCCCCCACCGGCTGTGACGGTTGCAGTTCAGCTCAGAGGACGCGGGAAAGTCTGAGCAGGCTGGCAGGCGGCGGCGTCCGTGAGCCCCGACAGCCCCGCAGGGGTCTCTGCTGGCACACCGCCCACCCACGCGGTGCGTGCGATCCACAGCCCAGCCCACAAAAACGGCCAGCTCTGTTTACCTCGTAAGTCTGGCTGCGACTTGCCGGCCTTTTCTCCGAAAACGCAGCGTAAAATCTCACTCCTCTTCCTCCTCCACCACCGGGATCCCGCCTGCTTTCAGTCACACCCCCCTCCGCCGGGAAACATCGACGAGGGGGGACAGAGGGCGCTGGGTTGCGGGTGCAGCGGCGGCCAGCCCCCAAGTCCGTGCCGTCCTGCGGAAGAAAAGTTACGCGTCAGCGCCTGGGAGGGAGGGAGGGACGGGTTCGGCCCGCGGGTCGGGGCTGCCTCGCGCGCGCGGCGCGCGCGCCAGGCAGAGGCCCGCAGAGGCCCCGCCATCCCCAGCCTCGCGCCCGCCACGGGGTGGACGAAGAAACCGCGCCGACCGGAGAGCCGTCGCCCGACGCTCGGACCGTCGCAGGCGCGGCACCGGCGCGCACAAAGGCCGCGGAAGGAGGCGCCGAGCGGAGCCCGCACTCAGGGCGGCGGAAGCCCCTCCGGGTCGCCGGAGCCCGCGGAAGCCCGGGTGGCGGAAAAGTCCCGCTCCCGCGGCGGTAGCAGCGTGCCTCGGGCAGACCGCTTCAGCTCGCCTCCGGCCCCGCAAGCAGGCCCTGCTGCCCGCTCGGCTGACTCGCTACGCGAGATGCTCGCCGCGACCCGGCGCCGCTCGTGAGCGCGCCGGCGCAGGTCTCCTCGCGCGCGCCGCCGGCGAGGCGCAGCTGGACCCTGGCCTCGCGGCCCGAGGGGCGCCGCTCTCATTGGCCAGGCGGCGGGGGCGCGGCGGGCGCTCGGCTCCGGGCGCCCCTCGCTGCGCTGCTCTCGCCACCCGAGGCGCGACCCCTGAGGCCACGTCCGGTTTTTACCCTGCGAAACCTGCACTGCAGCTGGATGGTGGAGAGAGAAGAACGCTAAAGGAGGGATTCTGCGCAAGTAAAGCAAGACGGGCGATTCAGGCGCTCCTGCCAGGCAGGACCCGCACTGCTTGTTGACCCTGCATTGCTCCCATGCAGTTGGGAATAAAACATTTCCAGAAATGCATTATGGTGCACAGAGCCATTGTAACGTGACTGCAAAGAGATACACACTGATACATGAACATACTTCTGTTAATTGCATTGGAAGCTGTTCCACATTCCTGGAACAAGCACTAACACCTGTGAAGAAAAATTAGCATTTCTCCATCTGCTTGAAGTCACCATCGTTTCCTTTATGCTCTTTCCAAAAGAGATCCATTGAAACTCTGCCCAGGCAGAGAAATGCAATCTCACTTTTTTGGTGGTGTTTAAGAGAGGAAGAAGTCCAGCCCCCTGGCTTCTGAGTTAGCTTTAAGCATTTTTAGTGGACATGCTCTTCAGCATTTAAAAGTGCATTGTTTATCTTTGCCTTTGTTTTTCCTTCTTCTAAATGAGAAAACCATATTGAAATGTACAGAGACAGACAGGTAAACCCAGGGGTTCCATGTGTTATATTGTGTAGACAAGAGACAAACACACCTGCCATCCCTATTCTACCAAAGAGGAATAGACATTTATTTGTGGTAAAAAAAAAAAAAAAATCTTCAAAAGGTATGGTGTGGGGACTGTCAACAAAATCACACAGTATTTTGTTTGCTAGAGAAACCCCTTAGATCATGTCCTGTAACTTTAAACAAACATACATGCAGGGGTGTTTCTAATTAGCAGCTAATTCTGGTTGCATTAAAAGCATTCACAAATGGATTAGGATTTCCCCCCCAGCCATAAACTAGCCCTCAAATGATTCTCATCACTATAATTATACATACATACATACATACATACATACATATTCTACCACCTCTCTGGCCCCAGTTTAGGGTAGTGCAAGAGAAACTGAATAAAAACAAAACAAATTAATCAAAGAATTTACATAATGTTGTTGCTTCTCATTGTTACAGTTCCTTAGAAAATTTTGTTTTTGTAAAATCAATTAAAATATATGTACAATATTTCCATTGTCATCATAAAAACCCTTCCTTTCTTATTCACAAATATATATGGTGGTGACAACTTGGTCAATAATTATAAACAAAATAATTCCATACAGAGGGAGAAAAAACCCTACACCAATTTTAAAAAAGGAACACCCTTCTTTCCATCTCAACCACCTTATTTCCATGTAACAAACCTTTTGAATTTGTTCAGACTCCATCTTGGATGATGATCAAGATGGCATTGCCATGCTGAGCTAACTGGAGGAAGTGAGATTTCCTGTTTGTCAAGGGATCCTTCTCTATATTCTTTCTGGCCCCTGCTATTTTCCAGAGATCTGGTGGCAACCTTTTTACTGGTGCCAAATTGATCTTTAATTGGAAAAAATCAAAATGTCACTATCTTGAAGGAGGAGCCCTTTGGCAAGGCTTTCCACTTTTTTCCCCCAAAGGAGAGAGGAAAGCAAGAGAGACATGTGGTTTTCCCAATTCCACTGCTGCCTTCCTTTCTCCCTTCAAAAGGAGCTCCTTCAAATGTCGAGAGAGAGAGAATGTGACAAAATTCTGCCATTTCCTAGCCTGGAGGCAGACCAGAGAAGGGATGAGCTTGATCAAGAAAATTCAGGGCCCCCAAAGTCCAGATTAACAGCTCCATCTGATCCATGTTTAACTGGAATAAGGCTGGGATCCACTTGCCTTATGCTCCAGGCATCTTTTCAGGAGGCTAGAAAGACTGCTGTGGGGGAAGGGACCTGGGAATTCCACTTCTGCCAGTGGACGGAACTTAATTTTGGACGCCGCTTTTGGTCTCCAAGCACAAGAGGCTCCAGTTACCCAGGATCAGTCTCAGACCCCTACCCCCCACTCCATCTATAAATGGGGCCACTGAGAACTGGTCCCATTTCAGAGGGAAGTCATTGAGGGATTAGTCTCCTTTCCCAGCCACAGTGTTAGAGGCCCCTCAACACCTCCAAGTTCTGAAGCAAGGCAGCAACTGGGCCAGAAAAAGGGGTGCAGACCTGCAGAGTGGCTTTTTTCCCTGTGGCATCTCAGGCCATGAAATCCTCTCATTTTGAAAGTATGGACAAAGCCCACTAATTTCCCAAAGCTTTTCTGGGTTTATGTGTGGCATTGAAAAGATCACTGCAAAATGGGGCATCTTTGAATTTAGGCAGAAGGGACGCTCAGGGTGCTGAAAAGACGCATGCCATGGATGCACTTATTGGAAGCACGTTGGAGAAGGTTCCATGCGAGCTGATGCATGGGCACCCGCAGAGGATTTGCTGTGCAACATGAACTGCCGCTGAAATGCCAAGTTTCTCCATCATCACAATATTCAAGGAATTTTGAGGGTGGCCAAAACATCTATCAGATGAGTGAAACTGCCGTATGTGTGTGTGTGTGTGTGATGTGGGGTGGGGGATGTGTGAAACCTCTGATTTGGAACCCATGTCTCTTGACAAATTAGCAGGAAGGTCGCCAGTATTTGAATATTATAACAGAAAAATCTTTTTGCAAATAGGAAAAGGAACACATTTAAGAACAAGCCACCTCCCAAAGAGAAAATGCTAACTTTGCATCAGGGTGTAACGGGGGGACTCTGCACCAGAGACCTGAAGTCACCACACATGTAAGGGAGAGCGGAGTACTGCTTCCCAGACGTGCTGAGGATGTGCACTGAAGAGACGTGTCTGGTTGCTACTCCCAAAGCACTGGCAACTGTGTGGGACATGCTTCCAGGGCGCGGCGGGAGGGAGGGAGGGGGGTGTCCCTTCCAAGTTGCTACTTGTGAAGGGACAGGGGAGGCAGAGCCAACCTGGGCAGGAATGGGGCGAGATCTCGCAAATGAGAAGTCTGCATAGAGGAGAGAAAGCACCAGAAGACCGTGGCACTGCTTGTGCGCCCTGGGGAGGACATCAGTGCCACATTCCACCCAAGCGGGGTGCATTCTGCAGCACATACTGCACAGCCGTCAACTCACCTTTCCTTCTCCTGGAATCATCATCACTGCAATCATTAACCACTGTGCCTGGGACACCTGTGAGACCCCAGAGAATCTGAACACCAGTGGCCCACTGCAGATTGACTCAGGGAGCGGGGATGGTGAGGCAGTAGGGTCACCAGAGGAAGTCGCAGACTTATTTCTTCAGTCAACTGGACCAGCTGTGCCCAGTGGCCTCTCTTGCCACATTATACCAGTGCCAGGGTAGGAAGATGGTGGGACATGTGACCAAGAGCCTCTGGAGGGGTTCTCTGCCTAAGGGACTCCTTCTAAATGTCTTGGGACCTTGGCAACCTTCCCACTGCTGCCACCAGCAGAAAGCGGGGTCTCCACCTCCAAACACCTTCCCCCGGAACAAGAGATCCCATCCAATCCTGCCCCCACTCCTGTGGTGCTTTTGGTCCAGCCTCTACTGACTGGGTCACAAACAGAGCAGGGGCAGAACCCTTAATCTGGCCACGGGCCTCCCTTTGCCTGCCCCATGGCTTTCCACAAGCGTTTCCTTACATCAGACTGTTACAAGTACGATCATCAATGAGAAACAGCTAAATCTCTCTGAACCCCATGCCCACGCACGTGTGCATATATCCCACGTTATTGCATGTGTATGCTCCCCCCCCGCCCCCACACACTTTTTCAGATTTGTAAAATAGGCTCTTGCGTCTTCAGTTTGTGCTAAAAAGGCACAGTCACTTTCACTTGGCGCTCCAGGGACGGACATGTGCTCTCCCAGAAGTGCTCTCGGGCATCTGCCAACGGCACCTGTACATTTGACAGTCATTGCACACCCTCTTCCTCCACGTAGGTTGAAGGAAACCAGCCAATCTGCAGCAGGGAGAAGTGAATAAATGAGTGAGAAATGGGCACCATGTCGTGGAGGAAGTAGCCGAGTCCTTGAAGGCTCTGTAATTTTGCAGTTCTCCAAGAGGGCTTGCAGCACACTGCAAGTATTTTCAGCCTACATAAAGCTTCAACTGGCATTAGCTCCCTGCAGAGACAACACCCTCCTATTTTCCTCCCGAGAGAGTGCTAGCCAACAGCAGGACCCACAGGGAGCTATCCAAGGTCCTACATTTTCCATCCGTGTTCGCATTACCAGTTCCCCTCAAGGAACCACGGAAAGTGATGGGCTGCATTTGAGCTGGTAGCAAGGGGGAAGCCAAAGCCACAGGCCTGCAAGACTGAGGGCTGGGTTGGACCGAAGAAGTAGGGCAAGGCAGGCATCCTGGGGTGCAGCCCAGGGATGGACTCACAGGGGCAGGGGCTTCCTTTATGCTGATTTTGCGAGGAGTTGAAGGCACTGACTCTCTTGACTCACCAGAGACCCAAATTTCAGAGGGTTTCAGGTCACTGGTAACTCTCGCCTGACCCAAAATGCACTCTGAGTGATGCCAGACACAAGGGAGCTCTTATCCTGCAGGATCCCCATCCCACCACCCAGCATCTGAGGGCAAGAGTGATCTGGTGACTGGCTGAAATGGTTTCCCTGCCATGGCGCATGGGATCCATCTGCTCTGCCCCCACCTCTCTGCCTGGGAAACTCTCTGAGAAGCTGGGTGCTCCTTGGGACTGCAGAAAAGCTCAGAGGGAACAGGAGGTCTGAAGCAGCTGCCTTGCTGTGCTGTCATGGACTGTTCCATTGTAACTGGGAAAAATGGCCTCTGTGCTTCAGATGAAGGAAGAAAGATCACTCACCCTTCCATTGGTCTCTCCTTTCCACCAGCCCTGGTCGCCGCCTATCCGGCTGTAGATCTTGACAACGTCCCCTTCTCGTAATGAGAGTTCCCGCATGTCCCGTGCGGCAAAGTTGTATCTTGCCACTGCCGTCCCTACGACCCGAGGTGTGAAGACTGTGGACAAATCAAGGGAGGTGGGTGAGGAAGCATCCTGCACTGCCCAACTGCTCCATCCCTCTGTGGGGCCACACTTCTCAGTTCAACCTGAGCTCTGGCTGGGCTTCTTGTGCCTACTGGAGTGAATTTCAGAGGACAGGCCTGGGCAGCACAAGCCTCGGCCTGTGCAGGCCACCCAGGGACCGCTCTGCTTCTTTTTGAATGTCTGCAAGGCTACAGACAGCAGTCTCAACCCCTTGCATGGTTGTCTCTTCTGGGTAAGTGTAATTACATGGTGTCGCTTTCACTGCTGCAACTTTGCTGCCTTCTGTTTTGGTGTAAAGCACAATCCAGCTCACATCATCATCTGATCCCCAGTCAAGACAGTTAGGCACAACTGCAGAAAGGAGAGCCATCTGAGTGAGTGAGTGAGTGAGTGGGGTGGTGTTAACTGTTGCCCAGCAACAGCAGGGGGTCCTCGTAGCCCCTTCCAACTATACTATTCCATGATTCTATGATTCAGCAAAAAGGGGGAAAGGCTAAAATAGCATTTTACAAACAGAGCAAGTCAGGTGCTGGGTTGCCTGCATTCATTGATAAATCTCTTGTCTTTTGAAATTTCAAAGGGAGGTATTTGAACAGGATCAGTTCAAAGCCTTGATGATACCGCTAGTTAGCAAGGCAGAGAGGCAAAGGAGAGAACTGTTGTGGATGTGAAGAGTAAGAAGGATTAGATGCAAGAGGAACCTCCATAGGAAATGGGTACTGGGGCAAGTAGACAAAAGGGTATCCCGGGAGGAGGCGGCTCGTTGCAGAAGGATTCTTCCCAAGGCTAAGGCAGATTATGAGCTCAGACTAGCAAATAGCAAAAGGGCTTCTATCAGCATGTAAATAGCAAGAAGAAGACAGGTAGTGGGACCGCTAAATAAGGAGGGAAGGGATCCAGTGACTGAGGTGAAGGAACAGGAACAGATGCTAAATGAGTATTTTGCCTCTGGGTTCTCCCCAAAGCAGGACAGGGGAGATCTACATGAGGGACTGGATGAGACCAGGGATTTAGGGCCACAGATTAGAGTCAACCCCCCCGCCCTGCCCTAAAAGTCCAGGAGCCCCTCAGGGCACTGGAGATTACAAAGGCACTGGGCCCTGACGGGCTACACTCAAGAGTACTTCCGGAGATGGCAGGGGTACTCTCACGCCTGTTGGTCTCATGGAGAAAGAGGGAGGTTCCAGAGGACTGGAGGACTGGAGGGTGGTGTCAGTGGTCCCAATTTTTTAAAAAGGGTAGTTGAAGGGACGGGGGGAATTACAGACCAGTTAGCCTTATCTCTATTGTAGGAAAGACTCATAATAATAACTAATTAAACAGTGGAACCTTGCCTCACAAACTTAATCTGTTCAATGACTCTGGTTGCGACTCAAATTGGTTGGGACCCAAGTCAATATTCCCCATAAGGTTCGATGTAAATAGAAACATAGAAACATAGCGAGTCAGAAGGAGGCTCCCGGGCCATCTAGTCTGACCTTCGGCACCAGCTGGCTTTGCTCACGACATGCCCACCATGTGCATGTCCAGCCTGTCTTCGAACACTCTCACCGATGGGGCCTCAACAACCTCCCGTGGAAGCCCATTCCCACCCTCGGGGTCCTGACTGTCAGGAAGTGCTTCCTGGCATCCAAACGAAACCTTGGCTCCCTGAGCTTTGCTCCGTTGGAGCGCGCCCTGCCTTCCTCTGCAAAGGAGAACAGGTCTCTACCCATCTCCGTGTGACATCCCCTCACATACCTGCATGTCGCCAACATATCCCCTCTGAGTCTCCTCTTCTCCAGGCTGAAGAGACCCAGTTCCCTCAGTCTCGCCTCATACGGCATCCCCTGCAAACCGGCCACCAACCTTGTGGCCCTACGCTGCACTGACTCTGCCCTGGCTACATCCTTTCTGTAACGAGGGGCCCAAAACTGAGCACAATACTCCAGTTGTGGGTGCACCAGAGTCTTATAGAGTGGTAGTAATACCTCTCTTAATCTAGAAGCCACGCTTCTGGCTATGCAACCAAGGGTGGCGTTCGCCCTCTTGGCCACCGCATCGCACTGCTGGCTCATGTTCAGCCTGCAGGCGACCAGCACCCCGAGGTCCCTTTCACAAGCGCTGCTCTCCAGCCACTTGTCCCCTGACCTGCATTTATGACACCCATTCCTATGTCCCAAGTGCAAGACCTTGCACTTCTCCACATTGAACGCCATCCTGTTGTCTCCTGCCCACTTCCAAAGTCTGTCCAGATCCTTTTGGATCTGGAGTACCTGCTCCTCAGTTGTGGCCACTGCTCCAGTTTTAGTGTCGTCTGCGAATTTGATCAGCAGACTGTTCACCCCTTCTTCCATGTCATTAATGAAAAGATTAAACAGGATCGGCCCCAGAACAGAGCCCTGGGGGACCCCGCTTGTCACTGGCCACCATCCCGACAATTCCCCACTAATGGTTACCCTCTGCATTTGGTCAGTCAACCATGCCCTAATCCACCGGACAGTGCTTTGGCGTATCCCAAAACTCCTCAGTTTCTCCACCAGGATATCATGGGGCACTCTGTCAAAGGCCTTGCTGAAATCCAGGTATACCACATCCACTGCATCCCCTCCATCCAGCCACCTCGAAACCTTGTCATAGAATTCCACAAGGTTTGTCTGGCAGGACCTTTTTGCGGAAGCCATGTTGTGTGGTTGCCAGCCTCCCTTCCGTATTTAGCATTGCTAGATCTCTCTCTATTATGAGCCTTTCCATTGTTTTTCCTACAATGGACGTAAGGCTAACTGGTCTGTAATACCCCATGTCCCATCTACTACCCTTTTTGAAAATTGGGACCACTGATGCCACCCTCCTGTTCTCTGGAACTTCACCCGTTCTCCACAAGGCCTCAAAAATGGAGGCCAGCGGGCGTGAGAGAACCCCTGCCAACTCTCTAAGTACTCTCGGGTGTAAGCTGTCAGGGCCTGGCGCCTCGGTAATGTCCAATGCCCTGAGGAGCCCCTCGACTTCTAGGGGGGTGACTCTATTCTGTGGCCCTAAGTCCCCAGCCTCATCTAATCTCCTATGCGAATCTCCCCCCTCCTGCTTTGGGGAGAACACAGAGGCCAAATAGTCATTTAGCATCTGTGCCTGTTCCCTCATATCAGTCACTGGATCTCCTTCCTCCTTATTTAGTGGTCCCACCACTTGTCTCCCCTTCCTTTTCCTATTTACATGCTGAAAGAAGCCCTTTTTGTTGCCCTTGATATTCTTGGCAAGTCTCAGCTCGTAATCAGCCTTAGCCTTGCGAAGAATCCTCCTGCAACGGGCCTCCTCCTCCCGGTATACCCTTTTGTCTATTTGCCCCAGTACCCATTTCCTGTGGAGGTTCCTCTTTCATCTAATCCCTCTAACCACCTCCTTTCGCTCTCCTCTGCCTCCCCATCTTACTAACCAGAGGTATCGTCAAGGCTTGCACCTCCAAAACCTCCCTTTTGAGTCTCATCAAAATTTTGAGCAGGACAAAAAGAGCAGGTCTCAGCTATGCTTCTGGAGGTGAGGCCAGAAATTAAGTAATGAAGATGCTTCTGGAACAAAGACACAGGAATAGGCACAGGAAGGGTCACAAGACACAAATGAGTGTGACGCTCCCGAACTGAGCTGTCCACGAGAGTGCCCTCCTGTGCAAGCCCCACAGAAACCTGATGGCAGTGGCACAGGAACATGTAGGCAGATGAGACAGGGGAGGGAAGCCTCCTGAGCAAGAGGCCCATGGGCCCCTTATCCATCCTGTGAGAAAAATCCATCCACAGGCCCTGCTTTGTTCCATCAAGTCATGACCAGACCCAGCTTCAAGGAAAACTGTAGGGTGTTTTGTGGGCTCTGCTTGGGGGAAATGCAGACGCAATTTCTCTTGTTGTGTGTAATTTGGTTTGTATTTTGTCACTACTTTGCATAGTTTACTTTGTTTTATCAGATAAGATACAAGAACAATATAGACTTAAGCACCGCCCCAGGAAATCTCATTTAGCAAGCTCTGCTGGTTCTGAATTTTCTTTAATGAGTAGCATAGAACCACAAGAGGGACCAACATGCACTTTCTCTTGGTCAGCACTTACCAGCCCTTTTGCCTTGGAGGATCAGCACCCAGGTGCAGGGGGTGAAGCAAAGTGTCCTTGCACACATGCTAAGTTCCACAGGTATCCTGGTGGAAGGGAGGGAAGGATGTGGACAGCAATCTCCACCTCCTCCCAGGGCTGGGGTGCTGAGCCTCTTTCAGTCCAGGGCCAAATGAAATCTCCTGGCTGACCCTTCCCAGCACTAACTGAGACAAGTGCTTGTGGCTGGGCAAAGGCGAGATGAGCAAAACAATAAAAACATCAGCCAATTTTCGCCCAGCCCAATTCCTGCCAGGAATAAGCAGCGGTCCAGCTTTCCAGAAGGGGAAAGGCACCACATTTAGGGAAGCCCAACAGCTTCATGACTGAGGGGCAGGGGCCGTGGCCAGCATGGTGCTGGGACGAGCGCTCAGGAGGGCATCCTCTCCCCCGCCTGTTCCTGCACTCCCCTCCTCCAGCTTCTGCCTGTTGGCTGCTGCTCTCTGGGTGCAGCTCCCTCCTCTCTGGGACGAACGGTCAGTCCCGTGCCTTGTCATACACAGGCAGTCTCTTTGCAACATGGGAGTGTGCAAAGCAAGAGGTTCCCAGTCGCACAAAGCTGGAGCTACAAAGCACCTACTCCTGCTGGGCTGCTTAGTGGCAACCCTACGCATCTCTTCTGGCACCTACGTTCTGGCACTAACTAAGGAAACACTGGGTGGAGAGACAAGTGGGGCCCTGGCCCCCAAGGAAGGTACATGCCAGCTCCAGCCCCAAGTTTCTTCTCCTTGACTGCCACATCTTATAAAAATAGCACTATTTGCCTGGAGCCCAATCCAATGAAGATGCCTGCAAGCAACTTGGAGGATTATGATCATTTTGTGGGGGGAGTGTGGAGCGGAGGTTTACCTCCCATCCTGTCCTACCCTGCAGGTCAGCTGGACTGCCAGCTTCAGCCACTTTGCAGTAGTGGCTGAGAGGGAAGGGGTTGGAGCACCCCACTACCCTCCCTTTTACCCCTTCTGTGAGGTCGCTCTCACAACCTCAGAGAAGCAGCCAGAGGGACCTGAGGGCTGGGGTCAGGGCTCTTTTCTGGCACTCTGAAAAATCCTGTGGCCTTTTCGATGTCTAGAAGGCCACTTGATTGCTCTGTAAATGCCCTTGTTTTTGTTTATTTTAAAAATCCTCTATTGCTTTCTAACTGTTTCTTCTTCCTGTTTCTCCTAATGGGGTGAATGAAATAAATTTATTTTCACACAGTTCAGAAAGTGTAAAGAAGGGGCTTCATGGTTTTTAAGCTACCCTGATGATGTTTTTCTCTGAGGTGGTAATCCAGCGATCAGTGGCGAGGCACTGCTGCTTTTTCTTACAACTACCAGCAGGCGTCACTTTTTCTCAAAGGATGGAGAGAGGTCCCCCCCCCTCGCCCCACACACACACACACCTCCTCCTCCTCCTCCTGCATGCACCCAAATGCACACAAACAGAAATCTCCATCTATGTACACATATACCTGACCAGAAAGGAGTGGAGGAATTCTGAGAAGAGAAGTTGTGGCCCTGAGGACTGAGAAAGGAAAAATTGTAGGAAGCACAGGCTGCTGCAGAAAGATCAAAGGGAAACAGAGCAGTGGGAGAAAGCAGAAGGGGGGGGGGCAGAATTAAAAGTGGAAATTCAACACAAAAGGGGGAGGTCAGCAAGGCAGCAATCCCCATTAAGCAAGCAAAAAGCATGCAGCTTATGAGCAGAGCACAGGACTCTGGCTGGCCAGCCTGCAGCAAGGGCCATGCAGGACAGCTCCTTGTGTGCTGGGCCGGGCCGGGCCTGGCGGGGCTTGTTCTCAGGCAGGGGCTCCCCTGTCAACCCTCAAAACCCCAGCCCCTTGGGCAGCTTCCTAGCTCCCTCTCTGAGTTGCAGGGGGAGAGAGTTCATCTTTAACCCTTTCTTGACGACTTCCAAGAATTAAGAGGCATCTTGTGGTGGACAGAAGGCCTCTCCCACATGCCCTGATTTCAGCTTGGCCGGGGGTTCCAGAGGCACGTGGTGCCTGACGAGTCCTGGCAAACCTGGCCAGCACCAGGGCTCCAAGCATCTGGCAAGAAGAACTGCACGCTCCAACATGGGGGCCACATGGCCAGAAATGCTCCAAGAGGAGCAAAGCCTCACAGCATGCTTGCAGCAGGGCTGGCCTCGCCCTGGGAGGAGCCTGAAGTCCTTTTCTTACCAGGAGACCGAGGCAAGGTCCTGGAGGCTGTGCGTTCCCGAGACTTGTATGGATACTTCAGGGTTGTGTCCAGCTGTTTAAAGCTCTCCTTCAAGGAGTGGTTTTGGTAGTACTCCACAAGCTCCTGCAGGGGCAGAGCAAAACCCATCAGCCCTCCTCCATGCTGAAAGATCCAGCCCCAAGTCAGATCAAGGCCCTGCCCTGAAATGTCATACCAAGAGGCTTTCAAATTTTTTGGCTTCTGTGATGTGGATCCAACTGTCCTTTTCGACCACCTTAATGTGCTTCACCTCATCATTGAACCTGTGGAGGGACAGATTCTGATCAATCACAAACAAATGAAGGAAAACTCCCTCCGGCTCCTAAAAAAAGGCTGATGACTGACCATTGCCACATGGGACAGAAAACACCCAAACAGGGAATGCATGGCAAGGACATTCAGGATTCAGTGGAGCAAAAGTTAGCATAACTCAAGTTTTCATAGCAGAAGAATCAGGTGGCAAGTGGGGTACAGGGTGGGAGGTGGTCAAAGCACAAAGCACCCCTCCAGGCATTATGCTGCAACTGGACTTCACACATGCAGGGAGGAATGTCTAGTTCTGACCTTTCCAGGGCTTATTTATATGCAGCATTCCTACAGTGTCCACATCTAAGCCAATTCTGGAGTAATGAACAATAAAAAGACAAAAAGAGAGTAACATCCAATGTTAAAAACAGAATTGGTAAAAAAGTTGGTAAAAAAAGAATTGGTAAAAAAAAAGGCTTCCTAAATCAACGAGTTCAGAAGGAGCTTAAAACAATGCAGTGTTTGCACCTGTCCAACCTCTGCAGGCAGAAGTTCCAGCGGAAGGAACTCTGAAGGCTCTTCTCCAGGTGGCACCAATCAGGCAGGAGGTCTGGGTTGTCAGTGGCCCCTCCCATCTGACACCACTCAGCCCCCTCCCAGCCCAGCCAGCGCTGCAGTGGAGGCTGGGCTCATCCCTGAGGGTGAGCTGCAACCCTGAAGCAGCTGGAGGAAGTGGGAAGAAGGGCACCCCAAGTGTGGTGGCACCATCCTTGTGAAGGAGCGGCTTGTGATACAGCTGCAACCAGATCATGTAAGTCACCTGCACATTTGCTTCAAGAGATTCCCAGGAAGCACACTGGGCTGCCTCTAATAAATTCCATCCCTCTTAATGATTCTGTTCTAAACGGAACTATGAATGGATGAAATGCAGCAACGCTGGTTTCATGGAGCAGTTGCTGGAGAGAGAGAAATGTTTCAGGCCAACCGTGTCCAACAAAGTACAAATGCAAGCTGAAAAGAGCATCCAAACTGGATTTCTATGAAGCTCACAGAAATCTGACCCAAGGATCTGAACTCTGCGCCAAGCTTCACAGAGAAATCCCCAGCAAGTGGCCACCAGAAAATGCTTACTTGATGCTGATTGCAAAGCGCTCAGCTTCTGCTGGTCTCTCCCGTATCAGGTATGTCCCACTGATATGCAGCTTTAGGAGATTGTCTGTCTGTTGCCTCTCCATATTTCCTGCAAACCTGCAGAGAATATACCACATCTGTAAATAAACAAAGCCCAAGGACCAGCAAATGAAGCCTGTGGAAACCAAAATGAGAAGGATCTTGGAATTGTTGTAGATCATAAGCAGAATATGAGCCCCCAGTGTTGCTGCAAAAGGGCTAATACTGCTTTGGGCTGCATTAACAGAAGAGCAGCTCCCCGGTCATGTGAGGCACTAGTTCCCTGCTATTCGGCACTAGTTAGACCCAATCTTGAGTGATGTGTCCAGTTCTGGGCAATAACATTTTAGAAAGTCACAGACAAAGTGGGGAAAGTTCAGAGAATGGCAGCAAAGATGATCATGGGACTGGAAACAAAGGTCTATGAGGAAAGGCTGAAAAAACTAGCCACGAGAAGAGAAGACTGAGGGAGACATGATACTCTGCAAGTACTTAAAATGTTGTTGCACAAAGGAGGGCCAGGATCTCGTCTCAATTTTCCCAGATTGCAGGATGCAGAATAACCGGCTCAAGTTGCAGGAAGCCCAGTTGCAGACGATCATCAGGAAAAACCTTCCAACAGTAACGGCAGTAGGCCAATGCAGTCAGTTCCTCAGGAGGTGGTGGGCTCTCCCACACTGGAGGCAGTTGGACAGCCATCAGCCAGGGGCACTTTAGCTGTGTCTGCCTTATAGGCCATTTCCAACTCTACTATTCATGATTCTGATTTAAAATCAGAGGTGGTTGTAGCACCCAAAGTACAGCATCTATGAGCATCTGAGCACGCCTGGCTCAAATGTGGAAGAGCTGGTGAACGAAGCCTCAGAAATGACTGCTAGAGGTCCCTGTTCCTGGGCTGTTTTGTTGTCCCCCTCCCATGCTGAAATGATGCCTGAAGGCCCCTGCTTCCTCCCAGGCCAAGAGATGTGCTAATCAGAAAACCCTGAGTATATCAAAGATCTCCAAGTCAAAGCTGTTTTCAACAGTTCTGAATTGGATGGTAAACCTTGTATTTTTATTTTTGCATGAACAACTGTGAACATTATGCATATTTTTCCAAAGGTATGCATCAGTTCTGTGTGTATTTGAAACAAATGCATTCTCTTCCCATTTATTAAAGTGTGTGAATTTTCCAAAGACACACTTTTATTTGTGCACATTTTCAAAGGTCTTTCTTGATGCTCAGTGCATTGGGCGGGGGGGGGGGGGGGAGGGGGGGGGTTGGTGCCCCGGGTGTTGTGGGGGGGGGGGACTGCAAACTTGGAATGCACAGACTTTGGCTGCATATTTTGTCTGGATCCTGTTCAGTCTGTAATGTGCAAATCAGGTAAAAGCCTGATCAGGACTTTCCATCTGATTTTCCCCTCATGCTTTACCCATGACTTTTTTCCTGCATCTTATCTAACTACAGAGAACAATCTTGAGAATGGAAGGAGGGGGGGCAAATCAGACCCCTCTCATTTTGACAAGCAAACCTCTGGAGACTGAGGTGAATGTTCCTCTGGATTTTGGCTTGGCAGCTCACTCTCTTCTCCTCTCCCTGGTCTAAATGAGAGAAGCAGAAGGATCCAAGCTGCAGAAGAGCTTTGGAACAGAGGGGCTGCTTGGCTCGTCACTAATCTTGCCTCCTTTCTGGGTACAGAGAAACACAGAAACAGAGCGAGTCAGAAGGGGTCTCCTGGGCCATCTAGTCTGACCCCCAGCTCCAGCCGGCTCCACTCACGACAGGCCCACCATGTACAAACCACACCTGAACAGAACCTATGATCAGGCCTGAGCAGGGATTTGGCATTGCATCTCAAGGAACAAAGCTCAGAGATGCCAGACTCTGCCCGCGAGCACCAGCTGTGCTGATCTGTTGCATTCTGCAGACGGAGCTCTACAATCAATGTTGCCCTTTGTCTCTACAGCAGGATGGAGAGTGGGGGCCGACCACCACAGATCTATGACTCCCCAGGGTTGCCACGACAAGTGAGCCAAACAAAAGCGGTGAACTGTGTCAGCCTTTATGCCTCCTCGTAATCAGACACTCACCAAGGGTACACAGAGTAGTCCACCTCTCGCAATGGAGGCCGGCTGTTGGGGGGCTGCAGCAAAGAGAACGGAGAAAATTATGGTGGTGGGGGGGGAGCTTCATGAAGAAACTGACTGTTGCTGGCAGGGAGTCCTGGTGAAGCACGGTGAGTTTTTCATACATTGGTTGTAAGTTATTGGCTAGAAAGCTGGCAAGGGCAAGGACAGGCACGGAGGGGTATCAGAACCATGGCTCAGTATGCAGCAGTTGCAGGTTCAATTCCTGGCAGCTTCTCCAGGGAGAGTAGGAAAAGAGAATTCCCCTCAAATACACTCAAACCCCCATTAGGAAAAAGAGGATGCCCACATATTTTGGCACTCCCCCCCCCGCCAAAAACAAACCCTCATGCAAAATGCTAGTCTGGTTGATAACAAGAAGCGTGCGACACAAATTCTGGCCTTCGTGCAGCAGCTGCCTGCCTGTGTGTTTGCCGGCCCAATTCAAAGTGCTGCCTGGGACCCCGATCCTTGGCAGAGCAGCCCCCCCTGCCCCCCCCGCAGGCACTATGTGTATTCTGAGCTGGCCAAGAAGCACAAGGTGGCGAGAAGGTGACGGGCCTCCTTGCTGTGGTCCCGTCTCCCTGCCCATTAGGAAGTGATTTCTTGATGCGGCCAGCACCTGCAGTCCTTCTGGTGCTGGCGTAAGACCTCCTCCTCCTCTCCAGCGCTGGCATCAGGTAAGGAGGTCTTAATCAGGCCTTGAATTTTCCTTCTTGCTGATTGTTCAAATTGTTTGAATGTTTATGTTGCCTGTTTGTATGTTTGTATGTAAATGATGTCGACATTATGTGCAAAGTTACATTTTTAAATTTTTTAGTCTTTGCAAGCCACCTAGGCAGGTTCAGCTTTTCGGAAGAGAGCACATCTATTAAAGGACATGAAATGAAAATGAAAAGAAGAGGACTTTTTGGTTTTAAGCCTCTTAAAGCCAACTGTGGGGAGTCCCGAGGCCTGGGAAATCTGCCTGGCCCTTCTGAGAAGGAAAACGCTGAGGGGGACGCACAGCCCACAGCTGGATGCAGATGCGGAGCCCTTGGAAACATACCCGTGTGTCCACTGGGCAGGGCTTGACCAATGAGTTGGGGAAGTAGCCAGATTTCTTTGACAAGATCAGCCTTCCCTGGAAATAAAGAGAAGAGAGAAATGGCCAGGGCTGGAAACTGCCCTGAAAGTGCTGTGTCTGTTCAGCAGAGCAGCCTTGGCTGTGGAGGGACGCCTCAGCCTGGCCCCACTCGGCTGGACGCCTTGCGCCTTCTTCAGTAGCAGGGCCATGGATGCTGCTCACCTCATGCACCCCTCAGAATCCCTGGCCCCCGAGTGGGGCTGCATGTGCCCCTGTGTGGCTGGGGGCTGCATGTGCCCGTGCACGGGTGCAAATGGATTTTCCCAGAAGCAACAGAGTGCTGTCTGTGGAAGTGCCCAGTACCTGGAGTCTGGACTGACAGGGACCGATCTTCTTGCTGGAAGACTTGCTCCCAAGGGTCTGCCTGTCCTTTGAGCACCTGCCCTTTCAGCCACTGCCCTCCTCTGCCCACCAAACAAGCCTGAGACTGCAGGTGGCCCGGACAAGCTACGGACGGTGACTCGAAGCGTTTCCCCGGAAAGCCTCTCCCAGGTGCTTCCTGGGGCATCTGCCACTCACCTCCCACCACTGTGAGTCGGGGTCCCCCCGGAGCAGCTCGATCACCTCTCCAGCTTGGAAAGTGAGCACAGGTTTCCCTGGCGGTGCTGGGCTGCCATGGTAATTCTGAACAGCCACCATTTTGGGACCTAGAGTGAAGCAGGAAACCAAGACCCTGGTCACCGTTCCCCTGTTTGGCAGGACAGGAAGGCAACTAAGATGAAGCAGACACCCCTTCCATGGTTCCAGGCAGGATGCGGCAAACAGGAGGGATCCACAACAGAGAAAAGTGCTTCCCAAGCTCCTCCTCAGCCCTTCGACAAGCATCACAGGCCCGCTTTGCATTTTGTCTCTTCCTCACACCCGCCTCTTTCTCCCTCTCTTTCCAGCCCCTGGCATCTTTCTCAATGTTAGACTGGAAATACTTTCCAGGGAGACCTGTCCCATTCTTGCATAGGATACTTGGCAAGGCTGGGGTACTCAGTCGCAGGCCCGATCTGTTCTTCTGGGGCTCCCCGGTGGCCATGCCCCTTCCCCTGGGCCCACCCTTTTCTGCCAGCCCCCCCTTGTTCTCCCCCTCCTAGAGGCTGAAATGCCTCTCCTGCTGCCAAAGGTGCAAGCTAAAACAACTTTTGTATTTTGCTCCCCTCCCCTCAACGCAGCCTTGCCCGCAGCTGTCGCATCTCCTGAGGTGTCTGCACAGCGGCTGCCAAACGGCACCTCAGTATGCAAAAGCCGCACCGGCCTCCGGGCAGCAAGGATGAAGGCCGGATGGCAGCAGTGCGTACTTGGTGCCTCTCCGGGGTCACTCCCTGCCCCCCCCCCACAACAACTGTGAAATCCATGCCTTTTGCCTCATGACTTTTAAAGCAGTGCTAATTGTGCCACACAACCAAGACTGTTAACCTGCCAGCATTTGCCAAGCAAATTCCAATCTCTGAGTCTCCTTGTAGGTGTTGGCGCTAACAGGGGTTCTAGCCCTCATGGGTATTTCAAAGCAAACCTGCTGCTGCAACAGGATTAGGTTCATCCCCTTACCTATATTCAGGGAGTCCTGCTGAGAGATAAAGAGAGAAAAAATACTTTTCAATTCTATATGACCCCTTTTCTTCTACAAAACACCCGTTATTAGAACAAGCAGTTTTGGTTGCTCCTGTATCTTGATCTGAAAAAAGTGGCTATGACCCCACGAAAGATGCAGCTTTAAGCGAGGAACCGCCCTCCAATCTTGCCTGCTATTTCCTGAGCCTCAGCCACCCCTCGCCCCATCCCAATCTGCAGTGAGGGGATAATAAGCAAGCGATACAGGCCAGTCGCAGAGGCAAAAGCATCCCATCCAGGAGCAGCCTTATTTTTGACACTGTGATTTTAAAAATGCTGTCTGTGAGCTGTGAGTGGCCCAGGCAAGGAAAGCAGCAGGGAAAAAGGGCACCAGACTTAGGCTACTATCTTAGGTTCAGTCCAAAAGATAAAGAAGCTTCCTAATTTGAATTACAAGATGTTGAGGACCACACAATAGTTATTTATTTAATTGCTATACTACACAATAGCCAAAGCTCAGATATAATGTGCTCAGAACAAGTCAGGCATAATTGTGACAAGAAACTGTGGTGCATTTGCAACCAAAGAACAAAATGTCTTCACTTCTGCTTACAATGCACCCCTTTTGCATGGTGGGGGAAGTTGGGGGGAAGGCAGGAAGCACCCTGGGAGAAAAACACTAATCACTACTCCTTCCTTGAGTGGCTTTGCCTTTTCTCCCAGTTCCACCAAAACCCTGGGCCAACCACCCCGGGTCCTCCCTGGAAAGAAGTCAGTCAAAGGACACAAAGCTTACCTGGTCTCCAGGAGAACCTAAATGTTAAAAATGAAAAGTGAAGCAGCTGGTTAAATTGGGTGCAAACAGAGTGCTGCTTTTCTCTTTATCCAGCATGTGGAAATGGTTCCAGTTGTGCTGCTGGTGCAGACCTTGTGCAAAAGAGGGCACAGGCAGGCAGGTCTGGATGGGGCTGAATTTGTTTACATGCTCTTCCTCAACAAGCCTGGCCTCTCCCTATTTCTTGATCTCTTGGCCTCTTTCTTTCCTCTCCTTCTGCTGTCCTTACTGCACTTTCAGAATAATGACGGTAAGAGGTTGGAAACAGGGAGCAGTCCATCCGTCTGTCTGTCTATCTCTCATTTTAGAACAAGGTGCTAAGTCTTACTAAGAATGGCAGGACAGGGTTTCTATTTGCCTTCCAACAGTGGCTGGGAAAGCCAGAGATTCATGCAAAATCAAAACCATATACAGTGGTACCTTGGCTCACGAACTTAATCCGATCCACAACTCTGGTTAGATTGGTTGTGACCCAAGTCAAATTTCCCCATAAGGTTCATTGTAAATAAAGTTAATCCATTCTGTAACTATATTTTTAAATCAGAAAAATTTGAAACAAAGAACAACAAAGTACTTACAGTACAGTGGAGAACACTAGCTTCGGTGCGGGGCGGGGGGGAGGTTATTGTTTTGAGGGAGAGTCCCCCTCCGTAAGGACACTGGGGAGATCTGTTTCCGGGGTTTCCTCTCCTCTTTGTCTCTTAGCTGCAGGGTCAATTTTGGGGCAAAATCTGTCTAGTCATTTTTTTTTTCCTGCGCTGCATAACCCTCCAGAAATGAGAGACCACATTATCGTTCATAAGATTCAACACTCTGTTCGTTACAGTCATGCTGGGGTGGTGCTTCTCAAAGAAATCCTGGCACTCATTCCATTTTTTCATAATGGACTGTATCACATCACTGCTAGCCTCCTCCCTGTCTTCCTCTTCCCCAGTGGGATCCTCCTCAGCAAGCGCCTTCTGCTGCTCACTCTGGAGTTCAGCAAGTTCTTCTGTCGTCAGCTCCTCTATGTCTTCCCTGCCTGAATGCAACTGTGATCGTGGCCATCTCCCCACTCGGGGGGGGGGGGGGGGGGAGATGGCCACAATCTTGGTTGCCACCCAATGCGGAGTTCGCAATCCAAGTCAAAATTTTCATGAAATTTTGTTTGTGACCCGATTTGGTTGTGAACCAAGGCATTCATGAGCCGAGGCACCACTGTATTTAATTCTAAATAGGTTTTTTTTTAAACTCATGGGCCAAATCCCGATCTGAGTAAGTTCTTGTGGGGCAGGAATGAAGGAGAAAAAGCAACCAATTCTTTTTGTTGGTGTGACCAAAGGGAAAGTGGGCAGAGACAAACAAGATGACTATTGAATTTTTTACGCAGATCACAGGTAAGTAGTTCATGGCTTCTGCGTGATGACTTATAGGGAAACAGAACTGGATCATTCAAATAGCATCCAGTATCAAGCCCTTGCTTGTCTACTCAAAAGCAAGCATGCCAGGCCTCAGAAGTACTGTTTATGTTACTTCTAGAATAAACTGCTCCCATTTGAAAACAGAAGTCTGCTGACAAAGTTTTGGATGCATCCTTAGAAAAAAATCTCCTAAACTCCAGAATGCAAATTTGTATATACAAGAGATCACTCTTGTGGTCAGCCACTTATGGTGTGTCTTGCACCGAACGCTAACTAACACACTTTTCTGAGCTACCCAGTTTTTATCTAGTGGACGATTGAGCAAACCATGGTTTATTTTCTCAGTCTCTGCATTCTTTGCTTCTCTCCTCTCCCCTCCCTCTGCCTGCTCCCACCCTGAGTCCCCTGCAGTGCTGTTACACTGGCATATTGAGCAGCTGAGCTTTTTAAAGAACAACCCATACCTAATCCATGCTTCTGGATTCACACAGCATGATAACCCATGATTTAAACAAAGTAGGTCATGAAAAAACCAGCAGGGACTTAGGTCACATGTGCGGTGGTGGAAAGCAAGTGCTTCTACCCAGGTGTCATTTGGCGCAGACCCAGTTCATAAAAGTGCCTCTGACCTGGGTCAACTTACTAATTTTGCAGGGCGGGATGATCTCCAGGCACTCCTTGTGTGCTCCAGCTTTGCACTTAATACACTGATAGCCCTGGTAGAAGGTCCCTCTGCAAAGGGAAACAGGAGCCGCTTTCAGCACCTCACTGGCTTCGCATCTGTCAGGACCCACCCAGGCTTGCCTCCTTTCAGCCCAGGGCCCCATTTCTGACTGCTCCAAGCGGAGGAGTGAACGCAGTTCACAGGCCTTCTTCTTGGTTCCATTTTAGGGGCAAAAACAAAACAGACCAAGACAGCAGTGCACTGGAAGACGGGGCAGTTTAAAAAATTCCTCCTGAGAACCGTAGTGAGGGCACTACTTGCTCTGGGCACAGGGGGCTCTGTCAGCATGCCTGATCCACCCGTCTCAAGTGTAAATTCCAATGACAGAACTGCTGATCTAGGGTGACCTAGGGCAGGGAGCCGAGTAATTTAAGCATTTTTTTGTCTGAGGTGAGAAATTGAGAAAGTAAATGGTTGCATTCCTTCCTGTGAATTTTAGATACATCCTAACATTTTTTTTCCTGAATGTGTGTATATAACTGTTCAACAGGGCGCACCCATTTCACGCAGAGGGCGTGTCCAGGCAACCCAGAAGTGCCTGGCAGGGGCTCAGACTGAAAAGCCAGGGGGCCGCACCTGCAGTGCATGCAGGTCCCACGGGGCTTTCTGAGCCTCTTTGCCTCACCAATAGAGCATCATTGTGTAAGCTCCTGCTGCAACAAGGAAGCAGGAGTCCCGCCAAGCTTAACTTGTTGTAGGTTAAATGCTTCCCAAACCCTTTTTTAATATGCATAGCCAAAAAAAAATAAAAAAAAAAAAATAAAGGACCTCATCCTCCAGCTTGTTCCCGGGTTATCAACATTCCTGCCATAGCAGCAAAAAGACCAAGGGAAATGACATGGTTAGAAGGTAATCACTTGAACTGCTTCCAGGTCCATGGTATTACAGATTATTTCATGCAGTTGTGGGATAGTTCCCACTGAAGATGCATCCTTGCCAGCAGAACAGAGCTGCTGCTGCATGCACAGTTCTGTGTGGAACAGCTGGGTGTACCACCCTGGTGGGAATTGTGCCTGTCCTTGAACAGACACGTTTCTACCCTGGTCCATATGTCAGAGCAAAGGAGTATGAACTTCAGTTTTCTTGAGCATCATAAAGCACCCCATTTCCAGGGTGGAGTGGCAGTGAGACTGGGAAACCCATGACTAGCATCCAGTGCACTGTGAGGAACGTAAGATTTACTGAAGAACTGAAATAGGGGAAAGGATGTCTGGGAGGACCAAGCCTTTACAGCCAACACAAGCCTCCAATTTCCTGCAAGATTTTTCCCTAGGTTTGTCTCATGCTTACAGCAAGCAACTTCCCTGCTTTGCTTCACCTGGCACATGGAGTATAGTGGCCCTGAGCCACAGAAGGAGCTGTGCTTTAAGCCAAGACTGCCTTTCTTGTCATAGTGTGAGTGGCACCTGGTGTGCTCACAGGGACCACGTACAGTGGGGCTCTCAGACTGGGCTCTCGAGGGCTGAATTCAGTTTCAGAGGTACTGTGCACCTGAAAGCTGCCTTCTAGCAGTAGGTGGGGCCATACGCTGGGGTGCAGGGAGGAGCATGTTAAAATTTTCTTACTATCAAAATATAACTGGGCAGGAAGCGGCAAGCCACCACACGGCAGGAACCCAGGAACGAGTGCAGTGGCCACCTGGGAGCTCTGGAAAGCTGGATGCAGCCCCTGGGCCTGAAGTTCTGCTCTGAGACTTCACGATGGACTCCCGTCCCAGCACTGTGTGGGCCATGCAGAACTAAAGTTGGAAAAGTAAGTTCTCACCTTAAAAACATCTTGCATGCTCTGCAGTTGGTGGTCTTGTCAAATGTGTACATCTGGAAATTATGGTTGTTTGCCATGGCTTTCTCTGGCTTAATGTTGGACCTAATCAAAAGCAAGTAGCAGAAAACAAGTCCATTAAAAAACAACAGCCACCTGGTCTCATGATTTTGCTCAATGGCTTCACAACGCTCCATGCTTTTTCACAGGTTCTGTGGACACCCAGTCAGGTGCCCAAAATAACTGGCTTCTTAAACAATGACAAACTGAGTCCATTTTCTTTCTGTGTTGTGACTTTTCAGATTTTCAGCCTGCGGTGCAGAGACTTTTTTGTTTAACTGAGTGTTTGTAAGCTGCTCAGGGAGCCCATTTTGAGGGGCTGAGGAGCAGGATGGAAGTACTCCAAATGGAGACTTGAAATACATAATTAAAGCCTTTTCTTTTCCATAATAACAGATCTGGACATAAAGCACAGCGTGTAGCGATGCTATGGCCATCCTTTGGAAAAAAGAGGGTTGGGGGAGGAGAGAAAAAAATGGTGGGAAGGAGATGGGGACACAAGGAAATGATGAAAGGCCCCAAGCCTGGAAAGGGTGCCAGCTACTGCTGAAAAGCACCAGCCCCGTACTTGCTGAAACACACGGTGCCACCTTCCCAGCCAGGCCCGTACAGCATGACAAGCCACAGCTATTCTGGCTGCCACTTCATATTCAGAATGGTGGGGGGCACACAGCTTGTGCTCTTAGGCTGCCCACAGCAGCCCAAGGAGAAAGACGAGGGCTGGGCTTTTTCAGAGGACCAGCAACATCGATGGTTTCAGTAACGTCAGTGGATCTCAGCTGGGGGTGGAATCCCAAGATGCTCACATGGCCATCTCAAACTGCTCCATCCACTTCCTTTTCATGTCCTCAGTCTTACAGAAAAACTGGAAGCCTTGCTTGCCTTGGAGGTGGGTGAGGTAGAAACCATACGACCACTGTGGAGAGAAACAGGAGAGTGTGCTGAGGCTGTGGCGGCAATGAGAGCACGGAAGAGCTAGCACAGAGAGTGGCGGGCGGTCACAGCAGAGCCACTTGACAGGACAGGAGACAGCTGAGTCCACAAAAAGGCCAGCAAGAGCTTCTGCCCATGCCAGCTAGGCGTTTCTCGGCCTACTTTGAGTCATGAGCTCCTGACGGTGTTCTCCTCAGGAAACCCACAGCAGGCAGGACAGCTGCCCAAGACAGCCCCGGGCTACAGAAGAATTTACCCTCTGAGGAGGGCTGTGCTGAGCCACCTCCAGCCCAGAGGCACAAGCCCCTAGATGCACGTGTGGGCAAGGTCTGCCAGGCCTGAAGCTGAACCTCTGCGATCCCGGTCTTCTCTGACCTATCCACCTTGCGTAAAGCAGCCGCACTGGATGGTGCTTACATTTACCTTCCCTGGCTAGCTCTCACATCCCCAGAGCCCCTCACGCCGGGACGGGGTGACTAGGCCTGCCCTTGCTCTCTGATGGGTTCCAGCCAGCTTAGGCCTTGGATGGCCTGGACCCTGCTCCTGGACTTGGACCACCACGGCCTCCTCTGAAGTGTCTGACCAGAAGAGCTGCTCCAGGGGACTAGGAGGCACCAGGACGGGCTTTTGTGCAGTCTTTCTTCTGCGCTTTGAACTACAACTCCCACCATGCCTGAACACTGGCCAAGGTCTGACGGGAGCCAAAGTGCAAAGCATCTAGAAAACGCCAGGTCAGAAGAGATGGCCTTAGCATGTGCAGTCCTCGGAAGGAAAGAGCGACACTCATGCTTCACCCAAGGAGAGCCGAAGAAGCGCTTCCGGCTTGACTGTGCCTTTTGTTGCCCACAGCTGGGCTCCGGCTTCTGCCAGCAGCGCCTCTCGGTGTCTCTCCTTCAGGCTCACCCACACACATCCACTCATAATGTGGGGGAAGCATTCCTGGGGGGCCTCAGTGATGGGCTGTTTGCAAGGACCGCTGCAAGTCACGCATGCTGGCTGGGCCCTCCAAGCACTCCGCTCTACAGGGCACGCTGCGATGGCCAGTGCATCACACCAAGAAAGAGCAAGGAAACATAAGGGTGCCGCTCACCATTTTTCCATGTGACTGGGAAGCACGAAAGGGGAAACAGAGACACATTATGTTAGAAACAAGGCTTCTGACTGCCACCTATCCAAGAGGTTGTTTGGTGCCCAGGCAGGGAGAGACCCAGCCTTGCTCACCACCAGCATCCCCACCCACTCCTGAGCAAGCAAATGCAGAGCAGCACTTGTTAATGTGAGGGTTGGTGCCTAACCACATTCTAAGTCACTCATTTATCAAATTTGGAATGGGTATCAGGAAGGGTTTCCTTTTTCTTTTCCCACGTTCTGCCACCTGGAGAATCTGGGAAGCAGGGCAAAATTCTCAGCTCGAGGCTAAGATCACTTAAATGTCCAGCATCTGGGCCATATTACTTCACATGGGAGAGATACTTTCTGCAAGGTCAAATTGGGGTGTGGAAAATGGCTCAACATACAGAAAACAAGTGTGTCAGGAAGAATGCATCGAACTCTCTCACTGAGATACCAGCCTCCTGTACTGAAGGGATATTTTTGGATTATTTTTCTAATGGGAGGCTTTTTGATCATGTGCATCTCTCCTCTCTGTACAGCCCCTGCAGGCTTTGCAGGACCACTTCTGGGAGCTGCAACCCACTCCGATGTTTTGGCAGAACGGGGCAGGGTTACTCCCCCCTCGGAGCCTCTCCGCTCAAGCGCTTAATTGCACAATACAACCCCCTTGCTGCATCCTCGCTGCATTCACACAGCAGTGTCGTGGTCAGTCTGGCAGTGCAGGGGCACCTCCTGGCCATCCCTGGAGCCGCACCCCCAGGGATCACCCAAGCAATGCTCCACATCAGCAAACCAGCATCAGCAGTTCTCCTGTCTGAGTGAAGCTAGCCTTTTGCAGAGCAATTGGGTCAGAGTTGCCAGTCCAGATCAAACCACACCAAAATAGTCTGCATCACAACACAGAACACTGTATTTTAGTGCAGAAAGGTCCCTTCCCCCAGCAAAGGCTGTGGCAAAACTCAAGAGTGGGCACAGAACCTGGGGGGTGGGGGCAGGGGACTTCCTGATAAAACAATCCCAGGCTTTGACCCAGCAACCCTGGTGTGGCAGCTCTGCCCCAAAGTCCTTCCACGATGCTTGCAAATGGCTCGGCATGGACCTTGACTGGCCACTCCAGTGTTGCCCCCTTCGTGTCAGGTACTGTAGGGATCCCAGTCTGCCCCCCTCCTACATGGTCCCACAAAGAGTGACCAAGGGCAGGAATGACCCCCCCCCCCAACTGTGGGGAAACAGCTCCCAAATGCACCCTACCCTGGAAGGAACCAGATCTCTCTCTGAGTGCAGGGGAGCCCCTGCCTCAAACACACGACACCTGTTTCTGTCTTCTACCTTCCGTAGGTCCTTGTTGTTGGTGGGGTCATCGGTCATCTTGTAGCAGAACAGCTCAATGATGTCCCTCTGCTCGTAGTTGTAGCCTTTCCTTTTGCAGACAATCACCACTTTATCAAATAAGAACAAATACCTGCCAGAAAATGAAAGAAGTAAAATGCAAAGCCCAGGCTCACAGGGCATTCCCACACTGATTTTAAACTCTGCTTTAAGAGCCATCCTTTCTCTCCAGACAGGCTGGGAATTCCAGTTCTTAACAGACTGAGGGCCAATGTGTTGTGCTGTGGAGGTGAGAGCACAGGAGCGGGGCTGCAAACAGTTGGCCACACTGGGCCTTGAGGACTTCAAGCAGAATGCGGCCTTTAAAAGGAAGGGGAACCAGGCCAGTGGAGAATCAGTGCTCTGCTGCTTTCTTTGTAAAGCTCAAGTTTACTGGAGGCTCTGCACAGAATTCTCATGCTTGGGCACTTTCCTTACTCACTCACCGATCCTGCTTTGTGTGGTTTACTATTGACCGAACCTTCAGTTCACCATCTATCTTCGGCCTGCCATATTCCTCCAGTTTCACAGGCTGTGGGATAAACAGGAGGAAGGGGTTAAAGGACGTGTCGAGGTCAGAGGGAGGGAAGAAAACAGGATGGACAGTGAAGTTTGCCCTTCCAGAAACTGGTGATGGATGGCATGCAGGAGACCCGTGGTGAGGAACCTTACCAAGTTTTCTATAGAACTCTGAAATTCACTGATTTTCTTTAAAGTCTCTTTGTCCCGCTTGACTTCATTTATATACATTGCCAAGTCCTGGAAAGCAAATGTGGAGACGGAGACACACACACAACTGAAACGTTTTTGCCCACTGAACTTTGCAACTAAAAAGCAGAGCCTGCAAAGGCCTTTTAATTCCACCCTCCCAACTGCCCTTACTTTGGCATTGTTGCCTTTAACATTATCAAGTCTGTAAGAGGACTGTCATTTCTCATCTTTGGAAGCTGCCCTGGGAGCTTTTTAGATTAAACCGACAGATAAAGGTGTCATAAAGGAAACAGCCAGCAAACGAGCCCTCTCCCTGGACAAGTCAGGGCTGTGAACCGAAAGGAAGGGCCTGAAAGGCTCTATGGGCACAAGAAAGCCTGGGCTGAGCAGCAGAGCCCCAGCGGCCAGGGCTGTCTTGTGCCATCTTCAGGGATTCCCCACCTGCATGGCTTCCAAAGCTTCCTTGAGCTGCTGCTTCTCTGGCCTATCTGACGAATGGTTGAGGAGCTCCTGAAAGACAGTGGCAGCGCATTAGCAAGCATCAGCAACGCCTGCGGAATCTTGCTGGATCAACCCTGGGCCCACCTCATCCTGCATTCGTCCCACCCCCACAGTGGCAGGATGCCACTCCTGCCCTGTTTCCTGGGGATCGGCCTCCTCTCCTGCGCCTCCTCCAGGAATCAGTCCAATTCCTTTTCCCAGCTACTGGGGCCAATGGCCACCCACCACACCTGGCAGGAGGGAGCTCCTGAGTTTCACTCTGTGCTGTGTGAAAGGGAACTTCTTCTGATCTGTCCCGTATCTCCCACTAGTCCACGCAATGGGATGGTCCTTTGGGGTTCCAGTTTTAGGAGAGAGATCAAGAATGGTCCTCCCTCCACATTTTCCACAACCTGCACCATTTTGCAGACCTTGGGCACACCCCACGCTGCTCACCACTGCTAGAAGCGAAACCATCCCAGTAGTTGTAACCATCCTGGCAGGAAAATTGCTCCAGCTGCTGAATTGTTTTGGCTGCCCTTTTCTGTGCTTTTCCAGACTCCACAATATCCCTTTTTAAGTGGGACAATGAACAGTGCGCACAAGAATTTTCATGCTGCAGATCTGCATAAGGGCAGTGGAGTCCTGGTAGCTTCATTTCTGACTCCTATTCTAATTATGATCAGCAGGCATTGGCACCTTTTCCACAGCAGTTGCAGGATGGATGGACATTTTCAGCATGTGCCCCAGCACAGCTCCAGTTCTCCTGCTTTGTGGATCAGGGCTCAAAGTACGAGAGTCACACATTCTGTCTCCATGACTTGCTGGGAAAGGGGGAGGCTTTCCGTCCCACCACGCCGGGAAGCTCCTGGAGCTTCAGGTAACAGCTGACAGAAGACATTTCTCCCAAAATCAGATTATTTGTAGGCCTATTTCACATCCATTAGCTGACGCCTGGAGTACACAGTGCTGAGTTTAGCCAAGGTCACACACTGCACATGGGAGAGGTGGAGAGATAGTGCTGGCATCCAAAGAGGCAAAGGGAGAGTAAATGTAGCCCCTGGGCTTTGGGGGGATTATAGATTTTTGGGGGGAATGGCGGCACCAAGACATGGGGTGGGAGTGCGAGTAGACTTCACATAGAAAACTCCAGCTGTTGGGTCTTAGAGAAATGTGAGAAGTAAAAAATATTTTTTTATGTCCAGACGAAACCAAGAGTCTGTGGTCTGAAGGCAGGACCAGGCCCAATTCCTACGCATCCTGAGGTGGGCAACTCACCTGACAGGCTGTGTGGTCTGCTAGGGAAAGGGATGGCGCTTAGGAGCAGAGCCTGCTTAACTAACAGAAGGTCCTTTGATTCCTGGCAGGGCTGAATTAAAAAAAAACTCCTGCCCAGGACCCTAGAGAGCAAGGCGGTGCTGCAATGCAGGCAAAGCCTAAGGGCACAGGGTCTGAGGGCAGTGAAAACAACTTACTTTTAATAAGAGGTGATACTTCAGCACTCTCTGCATGGGCACCACCAACAAGTCTTGCAGCTTGAATTTCCCATCCTGCACCTTCAGCGTACATTCCTGGAGGAGAAACAAAGAGTACGACCCTGCAACTTTGCTGGTGGGGGCTCCCCATTCAGCCTGATGCGCCTTGCTGTGAGGCAGCCGTTTCTAGCCTTTCTGTGTCCCATGTGACTTGAAAAGGTTTGGTTTATGTTCACACCCCCTACAAAAGTAATATCACATTTGAAGAGGAAGAAGTTGAATTTGTAAATATTGAACCACAAATTGGGCCATGTACAGTACTGCGAGTGAACAAATCGAACTAAAATTTTAATTCAGTGCATAAAATTGTTGTGAGCCGCCCCGAGGCTTCGGCAAGGGGTGGCACAGAAATGTTTTAATAAATAAATAAATAAATAAAAATAAAATTCAAATATAAATTGAACAATTAGAGGAAAAAATAAACTGGAAAATCAATGCCAATTGCGAACATAACATTTACTTCTTTGCCCCTCTTCATTCACAATTTTGTCAAAATATGGAACCTTCTTACTGATTGTGATCTGCAAGTGGATTCAGGTGATTCCCAGATTTTGTTTTGACTGACAAAAGAGAACAGAATTCAAATGCAAACAAAATAATAATAAATAATTGCATCATTGGGATAATTTTTGGCCAAAAACATTGTGATTTTTGGTGAATTGCAATGCAGCCTTCCTCTTTGGTCTCATCCCCGAAATGCCATCTCACAGATTGAGGGAAACACACAGAAACTTAAAGAAGTGCAATGAAATAAACAGGGGGAAAAAATGAAACTGCAGATATGAAATGGGGACACACAAATGGAATCGAGCGGCTGCTGCCAGCCAGTTTCCACACAAGCCCCCGGTGCTCGTCACCTCGACTTTTTGCCGGACGTCGTCACGAGTGGCCATGAGGTGGTTCAGGGTGGTCTGTGCGTGCTCCATGTGGCTGCAATACTCGCCGTATATCAAGAGCCTAGAGAAGGAGGGCACAGAGACAAATGGCGCATCAACACAAGTGCCAGCTGCCTGGGCAGTTTGCTCCTTCCCGCATGCTCCCCTCGTATACGTATGCTGGGTCTAATGGATCCCCCTGGATTCATGTGGCTCTTCATGATCTGCACCTGAACAATCAAATTAATTCCAGAGGCCTTTTAATTTAGACCTTGTTTTGGTAAAATTCAGAATTAAATGGTAAAAAGTATTCGGAACACAATGCTATCTGCCAAGCCGTGTGCTGTTGCACGCGCTTGGAGGCAGTGTGGGGTCAGCTGCAGGGCCGGCCCTAGCCATCGGTGGGGCGAGCAGCAGACGCCGGGAGGAGGCAGCCGGTCCTCTAGGGAGAAAGCTGTGTGCCACATGCTTCCCTCCGCACCCCATCAACCGGCCCACTCCCGTCGGATGCGATGGGGCAGGATCCAAGAACACCAGCCTGGCGGGTTCTGTTTGTGGCTTCAGAGTGGGAACCACCTTCTCCTTTGCCTCAGGCAGCAAGACATCTTGGGCTGCCCCTAGTCATTTGGGTCCTGCCTGGGTGTGAGGGAAGGTTTTGCAGAACACACTGTGATGCCCTCTTCCCCCTTTCTGTGGGACCCAGGCATGGGTAGGCAATCCATGTCCCATTATTGAAATGCTCTTTGCTTCCCTTGAAGTGCCGCCTTACAGCTCGAGCCTCTGGAAGTCCAAGGGCCAGATTCTGCATCGTGGATGAAGGCAAAAGGGCCAGGGCCAGCATGAGCTCGACACACCTCCTGCCAGAACTTGGCCTTTTTAGAAGGGGGGGGGGGAGGCTGCACGAAGGCCAGGAGGTCACTGCACCATAAGGGGCTGAGGAAGGGACACCACCGGGGAAAGGGGCGTGAGCTCTGTGAGCCCTGGGGGACAGTTTTCACTTTGCGAACACCCACAACAGGGCAGGGGGCCCTTGCCCAACACCGAGGCTCCAAAGGGCCCAATTCCCATCTTGAAGGTGAGGCCCACAAGAACAGCCTCTGCTCCTGAGCATGCTTCAGCCTCACTTCAGCCTCCTCTTGCCTGCCAAATTTCCCCTCCAGTGCCCCGAGTCTGCATTGGACCACCCAGGTCCACCACCTGAGCGCCACACAGCTGCTCCCAGCACAGTGGCTGACACGGGGAAGTCGCAAGTGATGAAGCAACAGGACATCACATCAAGGGCACGGGAGTGCTTGTGACCGCACAGCCCCAGCACAGAGGAAAGGGGAGCCGCACCTCCTCAATTTAGGGGGTCAGTGCTGGTGAGCTTCAAAGGACGTTTCTTGCCCAAATGAAAGCAGCAGCTCAGCATCCACTAAGCACAACCGTGTTAGGAAAAGGCCGTTTTAAATAATCATTCGGCAGACAGGGAGCTGCCGTTCAAGCTCTCCCTTCTCGCAGCAGGAGTGAAGATGTGTTCCTTCCATTTGCCCACCTTTCATCTATCTGAGAAGGTTTCCATAGTATTTGTCTACAGGGTTGTAAAGAAAAATGATTTGTCAACCCTGAGTCAGGAATAAAAAGGCTGAGAAAAACACAGGGGTTTTTTTTTTTAACCAAATTGCTCAGAAATTCCAGCAAACATAAATGGTTGCAGTTTTCCAGCTGTGTAAATGGCAGGAAGTCAGTCAGGGACTGGAGCTGGAGAACATCACCTGGCGGTGGCAGGTGCTGAGGGGAAGAGGGCAGTCCACCACCTCACTCCAAGTGAGCCAGTCTTGGCTCTTTAATCAGATCTTTTGCGGCTTGCTTTATCTGTGCTGGGGGTGAAACACAAGCTCCGCTCTGCTGCTGCCCACCTGGCCCAGGGCTGGGGCTGGGGCTGGGGCTAGGGCTGGGGTACTTGCAAGGTCCTGTCCCCCATGAATAAAACCAGGGAAAGGGGCCTCTGGCCTCCTCTCTCCACCCCGCCCACTCCCTGCTGCTGTTCTGCAGCCTTTTTACCTCTCTTTGAATTCCAGGAACACTTTGGCCAAGGTGCCTCCACCAGACATCATGGAGAGGTCAATGCTCCTCAGGAAGTTGTAGTGCACTTTGATGAGGTCCTGAAAATCAAGGGAACAAATTGGGACATTCATAACCCCAAATCTTACACTCAACATAGGGGAGAGACAAAGAAAGCTGCTTTTGGGAAACGTACACAGAAAGGAAAGAAATAATATTTTTCTACTCCCTCAAGACCACAGCTGATGTAGTTGAAGGCCAGGCAATGGTCAATCTGTATGCCAAGTTTATCAAAGCTCAAGAGCGGGGGAGATGCTGCAAGCACGAGCGGTGCTGCTACGGACTGGCAGCTCAGGAGGCTGAGCCAAGTGTGACTCCAGTGCGATGCTCACAATGTTGGCTGGGTTGTGTGAATGCACAGATGGCCACTCGAAGAACGACAGTTACAGGTAAGCAACCTGCCTTTCTTTGTCACGGTCTCTGTGCATCACACATTATGGATGACTAGCAAGCTTACCAACCGGAGGCGGGACGGCGTTGTCAGTGGAGAATCGAGGAGAGGACGGCACGCCCAAAGGAGCAGTCCTGTCTGGTATGCACGTCAAGTCTATAATGCCTGGTGGATGGGCAGGGAGTCGTCCATGTCGCTGCCTTGCAGATGTCAAGCAGTGGGATGCCAGCAGAAAAAGCCCGGGAGGCAGCCAGTTCTGGTGGAATGGCCCTTGGGCACACCTGGGAGGTCCAGCTTAGACAACTGATATGCCAGTTCAATGGTTTGGACAATCCACCTGGAGAGTCTTTGGGAGGAGATAGCAGAGCCCTTGTCCAGTTCGGAATACTTAGCAAAGAAGCGTTTGGTCTTTCTGAAGATCTCTGTATGGGACCGATAGAAAGCCAGGCATCGACGTACATCGAGAGTGGAGAGATATTTCTATGGTGTCGAAGGTGCAGGGAAGAAGGCTGGTAGGATAATGTCCTGATTGATGTGAAAAGGTGTAGCAACTTTAGGGAGGAATGGAGGGTCAGTGCAAAGGACTACCTTTTCCTTATGAAAGTTGAGGTAAGGCGGGTCAACACAAAGAGTGCACAGTTCGCTCGCCCTTCTAGCCAAGGTGATGGCAACAAGAAAGGCAGTTCTCCAGGACAGCAGGCATAAATCAGTTGTTGCCAAAGGTTCGAGCAGGGCTCTGGTAAGATCTTGGAATACAACAGATGGCTCCATGTCGGTACCCCAGGGCGAACTGGAGGTTGGAGATTCTGTAGTCCCTTCAGGAAACAACAGATGAGAACGTGTGAGAAGATGGAGGAGCCAGATACCGGACCACGAAAATGAGAAATTGCCACGATGTATACTCTGATAGAAGTGGGCTTAAGTCCATGCTGATGTAAGGAGAGTAGAAAAAGTAAAATATTGTCAATTGAGGCTGAATGAGGAGGAAATTGGTTGGTTGCCGCAAAGGTGGTAAAACGCTTCCATTTAGCCTCATATGATCAGCAGGTGGCTGGTCGTAGGGCAGATTGGAGAATGAATTCAATGTCCGACTGGAGAGGATTTGGATTCGACATGGGGTGTCTATATGTCAGTACCGATAGCTGTTCTGGTACCAAGGGAAGTATTGGAATCATTGGGACCAATGAGGTTGTCGGGACTGAAGCTGAAGAACAAGGAATAGTTACTGGAGGAGCCACGCGGCGAGGTTGAGAGAATCGAGGTCGGGATGGCAAATTGCCCTATTTTCCTGTGTAATCAGGTGAGGGACTCGTGGTAGACGGACGAAGGTTTGGTGGGAGAGATTGAGGATGGTCGGGAACCAGGGTTGGCGCAGCCATCACAGCATAACAAGAATTCCCTGGGCTTTGTCGTGAACAATTTTTTCTAGGGTCTTTGTGATTAGCGGAATTGCGGGGAACACGTAAAAGAACATGTTCGTCCAACTCACTATCAAGGCATCTCCAAGCAAGTTCGGGCCCATGCCTGCCTGGGAGCAGTAATCCATGCACCTCGAATTGGTCGCTGTAGCAAACAGGTCTATGGTCGGGGTGCCTCAGCAAAGGAAAAGTTGTTGCAGACCTGCTTGTCCAACTCCGACTCATGAGTTGAGGACATTTTCCTGCTGAGGGTATTTATTTATTTAAAACATTTTTATGCTGCCCCCATTGCAACAAAACCTTGGGGCGGTATCTGCTTCCTCGTTGTCTATACCCGCAAGATGGACTGCTAGTAGGGTAATCCCCCTGGGGATACATCAGTTCCATATTCGCAGGGCTAGCTGAGCCAAAGGTACCAATTTCGTACCACCCTGCTTGTTGACATAAAATACCGTCATGACATTGTCCGAGGCTACTTGGACTACCTGGTTTCGAAGGGTGGACTTGAAGAATCAGAGAGCTTTGAAGACCGCAAGCAGCTCCAGGTAATTGATGTGCTTGGTCTTCTCATGGGCTTGCCAGGTGCCCTGAGTGTGCAGGCTGGCACAATGAGCTACCCATCCCATAAAGGAGGTATCGGTATGGAGGGTCACCGAGGGCTGCAGTTGGTGGAATGGGAAGCCTACAGAGAGATTGTCTTTGTTCGTCCACCAAGTCAAAGTCAGGAGAACAAAAGTAGGTGGCAATAGCGGACACTTTGGAGAGTCATGTTGTGGATGGAAGAGGCCGTTGAACCACAGCTGCAGGGGTCACATTTGTAGCCTGGCGTTGGGAATGACTGCAATTGTTGAGGCCATGTAGCCAAGGAGCTTCCGAATGGATAACGCAGGAGTGGGGAGGCCATCTTGGATACGTTCAATTGCCGAGCGAAGCTTGTCCATTTGAGCCCATGGTAGGAATGCCCTGGCTCGGACTGAGTTGAGACATGCTCCAATAAAGTCGATGACCTGTGAGGGAGTGAGACAGGATTCTCGGTATTAATACAGAGTCCAAGTTTGTCTAAAAGTCTACACGTATTGTCGATGGCTGAAAGCAGATGCTCTTGAGACGGGGAGACAATCAGCCAATCATCTAGGTAGGGGTATATTTGGACACCCTGTAACCGGAGGTGGGCGCAAACAGGCGCCATACATTTCGTGAAAACTCGTGGAGCCGTAGCTAGTTCAAAAGGGAGGATGTTATATTCAAAGATATCAGAGCCGACCATGAAGCAGAGAAGCCGCCTGTGAGATGGGTGGATGCTGATATGGAAATAGGCATCCTTTAAGTCCAGAGAGGCGAACCAATCTTCTCTCCTGAGCAATGGAAGGATATTTTGAAGGGTGGTCATCCAGAATTTTTTAGTCTTAATGAACTTATTCAAGCCACGTAGGTCAGGTATAGGGTGTAGACCACCGTTCCGCTCTGGGACTGAAAATTTCTTGAGTAGAAGGCATGAAGCCCCTCTGAGCGAGAGATTTGGCGAATCACTCCTTTACAAAGTAATTGGGAGACTTCGTCTCTTAGGACCGCCGATGGGGAAATGTAACGGATCGGTCCCGGAGGGGGCACGGCATCAAACTTGATTTTATATCCGTGCTCAATGATGAAAAGCACCCACTTATTAGATGTGATGGACTCCCAAAAGGGGAGTTGGCCTTGCAGCCGGTCCCCAAAGGGGAGGAGGGAAGGTGGATGGAAGGAGAGAAGATTAGCTTGCGTGCCTTGTCAGCGCTGCCGCTTGGCAATGAGTTGATGGCACCGACCTTGCTGGAACTGAGTGACAGGTTGGCCTCGGTTGCGTTGCTGGCATGGCTGATATTGTTGGCGCAGCTGATAACGGTGGTACAGCTGGTATCGATGACAGCGAGATTGTGGCCACTTACGCCGGTTTGCATTTGGTATCAACATCTTCCGTGCGGTGGCTCGAGCGTTGTAAATGTGCTTGAGCTTATGGTCCATGCGGTCGTGGAAAAGACTGGAACCATTGAAAGGCATGCCTTTGATGCGCCTCTTTGTCTCGTCTGGGAAGTTGAAGGAGCGTAGCCACGCGTGCTGGCATAAGGTGATGGCTCCGACGAGTGCTCGGGAGTTGCAATCTACGAGATGGCGTGCCGTACTGAGTTGTTGGATACCTAGTTGCACAGCCTTGTGGATAAAAACCTGGGCCAGGTCGCGCTGCTGCTCTGGAATAGTGGAGGTGATGGATTCCAGCTGTTGCATCAGAAAGTACTGATACCTGGCCATTGTCGCCTCATAGTTAGATATCCGCAGGCCTAGCCCCATAGCCACGTAAATGCAGCATGCCATCAAGTCTATCTTCCGGTCCTCCTTGTCTCTCGGGGTCGAGTGCTCCCTGTTATCTCGACCCTGAGATGACTCGACTACTATTGAGTTTGGCTTCGAGTGATACAGCAGGAATGGGATGTCCTGCTCCCTAATCTTGTACATCGACTTGTATCTCCGGGACATTGGATGAGGCTGCCTCGGAAACTCCCAGGTGTCCGTCACAGCCTGCCGAAGAGTCGTTAGCAGTGGAATGGAGATGGCAGATGACTGTTCCTTACGAACAATGTCATAGAAGTGGTCATTATTGGTGTTCGCCAATCATTGGTGTTCCACTTCTATCTCCAACAACTGTGTAAGTTGAGCCATGAGCTCTTCGAAGGTGGAGTAGGACTCTTCCGGCGACCCAGGTACCTGGGTTGAGATGACGGCATCAGGGGATGTGGAGAGCTGGTCCGAGTCCTCAGAGTCTGAATCGTAATGGTATGGTGGACTAGATGACAAGTCGGCCGGAAACGGAGGAGGGCGGGAAGTTGCGGCCGCTGAAATGGAAGGCGCTTCCGTTCTGGAAGGACAGCACTTCCGTCTGCACTCCAGAGGTAAGGGATAATAGCCGTACAGTGGTAGGTAGTTCCAGTGATGAGACTGAGGCAGCTCGAAACCACTGTATGGCACTGGGAGCCAGCTCCTGGTGGATTGCCCTGAGACACGTTGGTGGCGATGCGTGTCGGATGGGGGTGGCGGCCTTGGGGATGCCTCTGGTGATGACGGCATTGGAGTCGGCAATCGAGCCGGTGGATGGCTCGGTAGAGACTAGGGAAGTGAATCCCGAATCTCGCTGTCGGATATTGATCCATGGAACATGGCCTCGGAGGGATCCAACGCCAAAGGAGGCAACAACACGATCCGTTGGGGGGATCCAGGCGGTGTGACCTGCATTACAGCCTGTGTCATCGGACCTGAAGGTGCCAGAACCGAGGTGGCTGTTGGGACCGATGGTGCCGTCAAACCTGAGTCCCTGCAAGGCTCCTGGGCAAGCCTACATTGCTTGCGGTCAACTTTGTCGGTCTTGGCCTTCTTAGCTTTCTTCGAGACCGATGGATCCCCTTGCCCGGTGTGCTTCTGTTTCTCCTTGTTCCAAAGAGGAGGAATGGGAGGAGCGAGTGGTCTCCCCGGAAGCAGCTCCCTCGGATGGTGGACGAAGGGAGGTCACCATGGGCGGGCCCACTGGAGCGGCCTGGGCGGCAAGCTCATCCAAGGTTAGGAGGGCCTGATCCCAAAAGATCTTTCTCAGCCGGTTCTCCTGATTTTTGCAGGCCTGTTTGGTGAACGACAGACAATGGCTGCATCTGTCAGTGAGATGCCCCTCTCCTAAGCATAGGAGGCAAAGCTCATGCGGGTCCATTGGAGACATTTGGCCCCACACCTAGAGCACTTTCGAAAAGCTGCGTGCTGAGCCATCGAGAAGAAAGGATAGCGAACGGAGAGAAGTGAAAAGATAGTAAAAAAGTAAGAAGTATAAATTATTTTGGTGTGGGGGGGAGAAAAACTGTCTAACTAGGGAAGGGTAAGGATGTGAAAAACTTGGAAAAGGGTTTTTTTTAACTAGAAGAGCAAGAGTAACAGCAGTTAGAAAAGAACAAGAGAATGTAATGGAAGATAACGAACGGCTCGAGGCAAAGCGATCGGGCGGTCAAAAGAAGACTGGGGAAAATGGCAGGCGCTCTGCCCTTTATAGCACCGTGGGGGAGGGGTGCGGAGTTCCCGCCAAAATTCACTAAAGCTTTGTATTCTACCTGGCTACAGGCACTGCGCAGTGCGGCACCCAAAATGTGTAATACACAGAGACCACGACGAAGAACAGGCAGTTCACCCCTCTGCAGGTGCAGAATAGCTTAATGGTACCCTTTGGAATTTGTGGGCAGGGTTCTCCTTCCTGGACAATGGTGAGAGAAAGGAGAACCCACAAGAAGTAGTAGTTCCCCTGAACTCCCCACTAGTAAGACCTCATCTGGAATACTGTGTCCAGTTCTGGGCACCATGGTTTAAAAAAGATGCAGAACAATTAGAAAGGGTCCAGAGGAGGGCTACAAAAACGATCCAGGGTTTGGAAGCACTGCCCTGTGAGGAGAGACTGAGAGAACTGGGCATGTTCAGCCTGGAGAAGGGAAGACTGAGAAGGGACATGATCTCCCCTCAAGTACCTCAAAGACTGTCACAAAGAGGAAGGTCAAGAAATCTTCGTGCTGATGCCAGAGTGTAGGACACGGAATAATCAAGTCAAGCTGCGACAACCCAGATTCAGGCTGGACATCAGGAAAAGCTTCCTCACTATCAGAGCAATAAGACAGTAGGACCAGCTGCCTAGAGAGGTGGTAGGCTCTCCCACACTGGAGACATTCAGAAAGAAACTGGACAGCCCTCTGAGTGGATGGTGTAAACTGGTGTCCTGCAACAGCAGGGAGCTGGGCAGCAGCAGCACGAACACCCACTTTCATGCAATAATACCTCCAAGTTGATAAAGATGGCTTCCATGTCTTGTGGCATCAGGATCAGCCTCAATGGATTCATGTAATTCTGCAAAAAAAAAAAAAGCAGAATGAATGAGCGGTGGGGCACAAGCACCTCGCTTTCTGCAGCTTCTGGTGCAGCACGCTTTGTGGTGATGGAAAGCCAGATTGGCCTGTTGGAAGAAAGCCTGTGGTTTAGTCATCCTGGGACTGCACCACTGAGACAGAAGCTGAGAAAGTCTTAATTCCTCCCCACTCAGAAAACTGGCAAGAAAATGAGGAGGAAGGACAGGCTGGAATTTGCAACTGGAGTATTGTGTTCAATTCTGGGCCCCTTGCTGTAAGAGAGATATATTAAGGTCAGAATCAGTGTGGCGAACGGCCACTAGGATGATGTCTGGTTTGCAGGGGAAGCCGTATAAGGCGAGACTGGGGGAGCTGGGTCTTTTCAGCCTGGAGAGGAGGAGACTCAGAGGGGGCCTGTTAGCAACATACAGATACGTGAGGGGGGGGGGTCACACAGAGGTGGGTCGTGACCTTTTTACCCCTGCATAGGAGGACAGGATGCATTCCAATGGAGCAAAGCTCAGGGAACCAAGGTTCAAGTTGGATGTCAGGAAGCACTTCCGGATGGTTAGGATTCCTGGGGTGTGGAATGGGCTTCCACAGGAGGTGGCTGAAGCCCCATCAGTGAGGGTGTTCAAGGACCGACTGGACATGCACATGGTAGGCATGTCATGAGGGGAGCTGGCTGGAGCTGAGGGTCAGACTAGATGGCCTGTGAGACCCCTTCTGACTCACTCTGTTTCTATGATGACGATGTCAGTGATGATATGGACACTTCAACAGAAAAAAGTCCTAGGAACATCAACTGGGCTGCTTTCTTCTGTCAGGTGTTTGTGGGGTGGCACATTTACCCTCCCACCTCAAGGGGCACGTGGCCTTCCCTGCACTCCCTGCAGCCACACACTGGATAGGCAGCATCTTTGCTTGCTTGCTTGTTTCATTTTTGCACCACTCAGTGGCAGAGACTCACTGGGTAGTTGACAAAAGGTAAAGTTAAACAAAAGTTTTAAAGACATACACACACAAATCTAAAACAATAATAGCATAATAGCAATTGCAACTGAATCAGCACAGAAGCATAGTAGTGGCACAAAATAACATGCGATATGACAAAACCAAGTTAAAAAGTTAAACCGCTGGGAAAATTAAAAGGCCTTTGCCTGGCACCAAAAAGAATACAAAGCAGACACCAGGTGCATCTCTTTGGGGGCTCATTCCACGACTGGGGTGCCACAACCAAAAAGGCTGTCTTCCTGGTAGCTGCCCACCCCACTTCCTTTGGAGAGGAGCTCCTGGAGAAGGTCCCTTAAAGATGAACTTAGGGTCTGGGTAGGGATATATGGGAGGAGGTGATCCTTCAGATAACCTGGCCATTTAGGGCTTTGAATGTTCATATTCACCATGCACACGGACGGCCTGTGTAACCAAAACTGGAGCAGCACGGCATCCATGCATCTGGCACCCACCTTTTCGATCTCCTCCAGAGTTTTGTAATATTTGGCTTCAGTTTCCTGAATTTCTAACAAGCAGCAATTCCTTTTGTCATCTTCTGTCATGCCCATTTTCTAGAGGGAACAAAGAAAAAGCGGCATCTCATATATCTCTTACCTGTTTGGAATGGATCTGTATTCAGTACTGGCATCAACAAGAGAGTCCTATCAGACCCCTGGTCCATCTAGTTCTATACTGTTGACCTGGACTGGCATCAACAGCTCTCCATGAACTGAGCAGGATGGTTTCCAGCCTTATCTAAGGATGATGCTGAGATCAAACTCAGGCCCTTCTGCATGCCCAGAAGGGGCTCTGTTGCCATGTGACAGCCCCCTCCTCTCCCAGTCTGCCCATTCTTTGGTCAGCGGGGCAGATCAGTGAGAATTTTTGTGCCCAATAATCATAATTTTGCTTAAAAAGTGGCTTGAAATTTGAAATTGACCTTGAAATTTCATGCTACATGTGTTTCATGCTTGGGCCAGTCAGGGGGTTGGGCCCAATGGCCTTCACGGTCCCTTCCAACTCTACTGTTCTATGATTCTGTGAACCTTACTGGGGCTGGTGGGGTGAGATCAAAAGCATCTCCCTGGACCAGCAAGCTGCGTTTAGATCTCAGAATCCATGTTCCGAAAGTCACTGCACAAAGTGAATGGCCTACAGCTGGATCACTTTTGGCCAAGTGTATGTGCAGGTGGGAGAGCTGCCGAATTCAATTTGCAGCCCTAATCGATCTCACAGAGTTGCTGCATTGGAAGAGACCTTGGAGAGCCTCTGGTTTGACTTAATTCAGTGCAAGAACTTGGCCACGCCTGCAACCTTGACAGGCTGGCAGTCCAGCCTCTGTGGAAATGCTTCCTGCAAGGCCTCCTGAGACAGCCTGTTTGGCTGCTGAAGAGCTTTTGCCACTAGGACATTTCTTGTACCAAACAGTGGTATTACTACTGAAAATTAAAAATATGATTCGTATCGTTGCTTAAGGCCAAACATCAGAGGAAACCATACAAACAGACCCATGACTGATCTTGGGCCTTTAAAAGAACATAACAAAAATTAACTGCAGCCCTACAGTGGGCCACCAGTTTGACTATGGAGGATAAGGGTGCTTCACTGCAAGCCACCATCGTATTTAAACAGGGGAGGCAGCACGAACCCTCTGCCTGTATTTCTCTCCAGCCAAGTGAAGGGTGGCTTGATACTAAGCCAGGCTGCCTGACAGCCCCCACATTAGATGCTTGGAAGACTGGCTGGCTCTCTGGGGCAAGGAACAGGCAGGTTCATCGGACGGTCAAAGCACATGGCGCATTTTCTGTCCTCAGTCCAACTGCTGGTTATGAATGTTCACACCCGATGGTGGTGGACATTGCCCTTCCACAGAGATTCTCTGTGTGTCGCAGGGAGAGGAGATGGGCGCCTGCACCTGGGATTGACACAAGCTCTGTGCATCACCAACGGGAAACAAGCGGGCAGCAGCTGCACGGAAACCATTTCGAGCAAATCCGAAAGATGACGATGGGGCCTGGAGACCAAAGGCCTCACTGCCCCCATCCGTGCCCGTCACTCGAAAGCACCACTGCTCGGCCTGCCACTTAGGGCTCAGGCACACGCAGTGGTGCCTCGGCTCACGAACACCTCAGTTCACAATCAAATCAGGTCATGAACAGAAATGGCATAAAAATTTTGCCGCAGGTCGCAAACTCTGCATCCCGTGACAATCACGAGCGCACCTGCCTTCCCTGCACGGGCGTGATCACAGCCATGCTGGGGGGAGCAGGGTGGCCACGTTCTTGCTGGGGGGGGAGATGGCCACACTTACACCTGTGTTCCCTGTCCACACCCACCTCCTCCCCAGCGCACCTGTGATCGCACCAGTCTCCCCCCACTGCCCTGCACAATCGCTAGGGCGGGGAGATGGCCGTGATCTTTGTTGTTCTTTGTCACTTTGCTTCAAATTTTTGTGAGTAAAAAAAATAGTTACAGAACGGATTAACCTTATTTACATTGAACCTTATGGGGAAATTTGACTTGGCTCACAACCAATTTGGGTCACAACCAGAGTCCTGGAACGGATTAAGTTCGTGAACCAAGGTACAACTGTACTTTGCTTTTGTGGTGCAGCCAAACTGATTCTTTAGACTAGGGAGTGACAGCTGCACCTCGGGCCAGAACCTTGCCAAAGCGGAATGAGACCTGGAAGCCCTGGCCTAAGCATTTTCTAGTCCAACCCCCACGGCTGCTGTGGGCCAAAGGCCCAAAGCATCCTTTCCACATACAGCCACATACTTACCTGCATGTACCTGATCTGAAGCATGCAGGGATCACAAGCAAAATAAAGCAAGGTTATATATTTTGCACCATAAACTGCCCACTTTGGGGGAAAATGCATTGCCAGACAAAGTCCAAAAGGCCTGCATAGAATACACAAGGAAACCTTATGGATGAGAAAGGGTCCAAACTGGGGAGTGCTACACCATGGGTCTGTGGGCCACACCAGGCTCACCTGGGCTCTTCAGATGCCATGCCTCCTCTCCCCCCCGCCGGCCCCCGTGGGTTTCCCAATCCTTTCTTCCTTTCCGGAAGGCGGACATGCCTCTTTTAAGGCTCGATTACTGGCAGGGAGGACCGGGAAGCTACAGCAGGCTGGCATTTTTTGCATTTTGTGCCACGGCCATAGTCATCAACTTGTTGTACATACGAACTTTTTTCTTTCCTGGCAGGCATGGACACTTAGCAGTTGGAATTTTTGAAAGTGAAAAATAAATGACTGAAAACAATGAGATGGCTTGAAACATTTGACATTTGTGCACCTATTCTGGTGGAAGCTGTAAAAATGAGCAGGAAACAGAAGTCAACATTTTTCCTATGTGCAACACAGCTGGAGACGCAGCACAAGAGTGAACTCCTTAAAATGCACATCCGCACCATGACAGGAGCTGCTCCAAAGTTCTGCTCTGCCTCTCAGAAGAGCAAGTGCTGCAATTCTGAGCCTCACCCCCAGCCAAATGCAGGCCTGACAGTTCTCTTCTTTCCCCTTTCAGCTGGAAGAATTTAATTGGCTGGTGAACTCCTTAGATTCTCTCCCTTCTCTCAGAGTTATGCATCTTGTTGGCTGAGGTTTGCAGCCCGGAAATACTAATTGGAATCCACAAGAGCCACCAAGGAAAAGGAGCAACACCCATGCTCTGCTGAAGGTTCCCTATCACTCATCCCCAGAGAACAGATCTTCTGGACCCCATCTTGATTTTCTGTGCCCCGGCTTTCCAGTGACTCCCCACCGCCACCTAGTAATCTTCTAAAAGGGGGAGCCCAACTGCTCAAGGGCTTTCCTTTCCCTTTCCATCCAATTTCCTCTCACCATGGGCTGCTGGACTTCCACCTTGATGATGTCTTCGTAAATGTCGTCCCCTTCATCTTCACATGGGACACAGTCGTAAATGTCCTCTCCCAAGTCATGTTCACTGGAACAAAACGAAGGCCACTGAATGCAGCACAACTTGCAACTTGCACAACTGGAGAGCCAGTGTGGTGTAGTGGTTAAGAGCATGGGACTGGGACTCAGGCGATCCGGGTTCGAGTCCCCGCTCAACCATGGAGCCAACTGGGTGACTCTGGGCCAGTCACAGGCTCTCAGCCCAACCCACCTCACAGGGTTGTTGTTGTGGGGATAAGATGGAGGAGGAGATGTAAGCTGCCTTGAGCCCTTTGTAGGAAAAAGGCAGGATATAAATCGAAAAATAAATAAATAAATAAATAAATAAATTTTGGAAGGGCTTGTGCCTGTGACTCAGTAAAGGGATGTCAAGGGGTGACTACAGCTCTGCAGCATGGCAGCTGCTTGGCCTTAGGTTCTGTGTCCACCAGCTTCTGCTGGATAGCTTCCTGGGAGTCTGGGCTGATGGGAAAGGGTGAGGCACCAGGCCATTGGCAGCTGTGGCTCAGAGAGGTCCAGGGCTCAGAAGCAGCTTATTCATTTTTCTGTGTGCCTCCTTATCTTATATCCCACATTTCTGTCCAAAAATGGAGTTTAGCAGTTAGCAATGGAATCCAGATTAAAAACAGAGTCTTAATTAAAAAGATAGGAAGAAATTGGTTATAAACCCGCAGCAGCAGAGAGACTGCACCCATTAAATTAAAACAACAGACCAGCCTACACACCAAAGGCCTGCCTAAATCAAAATCTCTTTGGTGGAAAGAAGATGGAGAGGGAGTTCACTCAGCTCCCTTCTGCAGGGAGCTCCAGACTTTGGAGCAGCCACCAAGAAGGCCCCGTCTCACATGATCACCCAATGAGCCTGCAATGGCAATGGGACTGGGAGCAGGCCTGGAAGGCTCACATGGGAAGGAGGCATCTTTCAGGCAGTCCACTTGCAAGCTAAACGTATAAGAACTTATGCAAATGGTAGCAGCAAATGAGAATAATAAAATTTGGGTCCAGTTGAGAACTTCCCTCTCTGGAAATGATAGATTCTCTTCAGTTGTTCAATGTTGCGTACTGCATGAGAGTTAGTGGACATGTATGCATGCATGGTAATCCGTATTAGTTCTAATCTGCATCGACCAATGCACATTACTGCTGATACACATTAGTTTATGCACATGTATGCAAATCTCCCCCAAAGTGAAAGAAGAGACTGAAATTTGTTCTCTTCCTCATCGGCATGTTCATGCTTTGTCCAATGGAGAAAAATGTCTGCACACTTGTACAACTAAGTCTGTGTACAATTCCTAGAAAGCAAAAAAGTCTGCTGGTTGAAGCAACCGGAAAAGTCACTTCCACTGTGGGTTGGAACCACAGAAATCCAAATTTATTTGACTCCATTATAGTTACTCCGTTGTGACCTGGCAAGTCAGGCATGGCTGAGGACTAAACTGGGATTCAAACCCAAGACCATCATCCAGGTCCCACCAGATGGCCTTGGGCAATTTAGCATCCATCATTTTGTTCAGTGTATCTGTGTGATATTTTTAATCTGCCGGATTGCAACATTCTCCATGTGGGTCACCAGCAGTTAAAAGTATGCAATACAAATATTGAAAAGAACAAGAGGCAGAACAGGGATAGATCAAAAAAGCACTCAAAAAGAGCTTTCTACATCTAAGACGTTTCTAGAATGACAGTCATTGTGAGCGCTCCCTTGGGCTGGCTCCTTCCTGTTGTTTTAGCTTTTAAAAACGTTTGCTAAGCTCCAGTTGCAAGAAGTCACAAAGCAAGAGCTCTCTGTAAAGAGCACTGGAAAGCCACTCCCTGCCAAGGTGCCTTTTCAACTCCGCAGGCCATGGAAAAGCTGCCTGCAAAGTTCAAAGCCAAGCCACACTGCCACCCCACGTCAGGCCAGTGGCTCTGGAGGAGAGGCTGTCGCTCACTGCCGTGGCCCCCGCTTTGAATGTAGCAAGTCCTAGCCTGGATCCCAGCCAGCATCTCCAGGTAGGGTCAGAAGGAATCCTGCCTGCAACCTGCACAGCCAGTCCGTGTGGAAAGCACTGGCTAGAGGGACTCGGGGCTTACTCAGTGTAACACAGCTGCCCATTTTCCTATACAAAATCAGCCCGCGGCTGGGCACTAGCATCTTCCATTGCTTTGCAGTGGAATAGCTATGGCTCAGTTGCAGAGCTCTGAGCTTTGAGCAAGCTCTCCTGTCTGATCCCTGGCAGCACCTCCATTCGGGGCTAAAAAACTCCTGCTAGAAGCCCTGCGGGGTTGCTGTTGCCAAGCATTGTGGTTAACTGGGCTAGGCAGGCCAGCTGAGGTCCGATTCTGCCCAAGGCAGCTCCCGGTATTGCTGCAAGCCAGTCCTCAGCATCAAGAATTCAGTGACGGGCAACACTGGGAATTCCATTCTGCAATTTAAACCTGACAGGTTTCTGCAGCTCCTGGAAAGTGGCCGTGGACTGTAGAGCTGTTTTCTGATTCCACACGTTTTCTGTATTTTTGGGGGGCTTAGCCATTTGTGCAACTTGTAGTTTGTGCAAATTTCAATCTCTCCTTCTTCCCCACAAAGGGGTGTGGGGAGGGGGCAGCAAACAAAAGTTCTTGGACAAGAAGAGAATATGGCTGGGCTGGGGTACAGAAACTGGTGCCTGGAGAGGGCAAAGCTGACAAGGAGGTTGACAAAGGAAATTGGGGCCTGTAGGGCTACTTGGTAGCGGGATCAGGCAAAACCTGCACAAGCTGCCTAGGATAAAAAAAAAAGATAGAGTGGTACCTCGGCTCACGAACTTAATCCGTCCCAGGGCTCTGGTCGTGACCCAAAATGGTCATGAGCCAAGTTAAATTTCCCCATAAGGTTCAATGTAAATAAGGTTAATTTGTTCTGTAACTATTTTTTTAAATCAGAAAAATGTGAAGCAAAGTGATAAAGGACAAAAAGGATCGTGGCCATCTCCCCGACCCCCCCCAGCACAACCATGACCGCACCCATCATCCCGGCATGCTGGGGGGTGGGGGGTGGACAGAGCAATCGCGGGCGCGCTGGGGTGGGAGAGACGGGTGTGAAGAGGGTGCGCTGGGGCGGGAGAGATGGGTGCAAACGTGGGCGCACTGGGAGGGGGAAACGGGCACGATCGTGCTGTGGGGGAGATGGCCGAGATCGTGGGTGCGCTCCTGCAGGAAAGACGGGCGAGATCCGGTCATCCCCCCCCCCCACCCGCCCCAGCACGATTGCGACCATCTCCCCACTCGGGAGGGTGGGGAGATGGCTGCGATTGCAGTCGCCACCCAATGCGGAGTTCGCGACCTGAGTTAAATTTTTTATGAAATTTTTGTTTGCGACCTGATTTGGTCATGAAATGAAGCATTCATGAGCTGAGGTACCACTGTATCATTTGAGCATATTGCAACATTTCAAGATCCCCCACAAAAAACAGAACCTGCTGATATTTTAAAAAAATGGAATTCATATAATTGCTCAGCTCAACATCGGGGGAATGAAACCTGCAGGTCTGATCCAGAAACATCTGTCAGATTTTCACCCCCAAACAGGATTTTCACACATCCCAAAAATTGTTCCCTCTGTATAAAGCAGCAGTTGAAGAAGGACAAGGTGGAAACACCTGACTTGAGCTGGAGGGGCACAGAGATTTCAAGATACATCCTTTTGACTAATGCACGGCAGAGACAGATTATCTCATTCCTGAGTTTTGTCCATGGCCCTTTGAGGCATAAAAGCTGATGAACGGGGACTTGCAGGCAGAAACCTGGCAAACGTCTGCCAGAATGGAAGATTTATGGGGAAGCAAAATTGGGATGCAAATGTTGGGACAGATAACGGGAGCTTCTGCCACTGCTGCAGCTGCCAGCCCTCTGGGCTGGGGTGACAAATGATTTGCCGTTAAAGCTTGTTATCATAGCTGCTGCAACGCGTCCCAGTATCATAAGCAGGGGTGTGCTACGTAGAACAATGAAGGGGAAAGCTGACCCCAAACAAATACTCACACAAAACAAATAAGTTCCAAGAGTGGGCACAGAAGGATTTAAAAATCAAGGAAAGCCTTTCTCTTCAAGGAAATGCATACCCACCTTATTTAATGTGCTGCAAATGTAACCCTTAAGTTTTACTTCTGGCAACTGTTTCCAAAAAAGGAACAAAAAGTAAAACAAAGCAAGGTCCTACAACTGAGCCACAAGAGTAGCTTTGAACACGTGTGTTTTCAGTGTGTATTTTGCAAATAGTAAAGAGGTGAATATTCTCCATTCTTGGGAATAAACTCTTGGGGAAAACAGTTAATGCCTAAGAGGGAGGATGGCACTACATCCTCAGAAGTGGGGCTTGCTGTTTGAAAAGGCAGGAAATGTGTTCAAGGCAAACAAGTCTGGAAATCCCCAACTTGCTCCTCTATAGACTCTGGAGGATTCCTGACTGTGGCCTTGCTGGCTGGACTGACGGAAGTTGAAGTCCACAGAACCTGGAAGGCACCAAGATGGAAAAGGCTGTCCCGGAGAATCTGCACTTAGGAATGCAAGCATCAATAGTGCTACAGTTTGCAAAAAGGAAATAAAAATAGTGCCACCCTTTGCGGAAAGGAAAGGAAAGGAAAGGAAAGGAAAGGAAAAACAGTGCACATGTTGCAAAAGAACTTCTGTATTCAGAGTCTTTGGGAACAGGAGAGATTTTCTGCACTGCAAATAGCTGGCTGCCACAGGAGGAGTGAACCCCAGGGCCAAGGGTCAGTGCAGCCTCCCTCAGATTTCCCCAGACAGCCTCTTCCTCACCTTTCCCCAACCACTGACTCTGTGGTGGTTTCCTCGCTTTTGTGCCAGTTTTTCTCCACTCTAAGGCTGAGCTATTGGCCACAAGAGGCTGCCCAGTGTTTTGCCTTTGGCCCCCACCCCCACTGGAATGCAGCCCCAAGGGCCTCGCCAAAAGAGACGGAAAGAGGTTCCGTATCTGTGATGGACAAAGTGAGTTCTCTCAGAATAAGTGAAAACGCCGGTTCAACAATGTCGGCCCAGGCCTGGAACCAGCCCGAACTCAGGACTGCCTGGATGCGATTACTTACTCAGCCAGTTCCTCCAAACTACGATAGACGTCGTCATCATTTTCTGTAGTTTCCTCTGAAGGGAATGGCCTAGGTGGAAGAAAGCAGAACTACTAGCAAGGAAGTCTGGCCCGGCCCAGGCTGTGTGCAGAGAACCTCCACTTCCACCTGCCTTCTTTCAAGCCAATGCAGCACGTGCAGGATTCAGATGGGATCAATCAGAGAGCTGAACGTCACTACAGAGAAACTCTAGCCAGGGAGGACTAGTGAGCTACCCAGGATTCCCACCCACAGCCATTCGCTGGCTTTGAATGTTGTTTCTGTTCTGGCTTATGCTCCTACCTTTTGTGCAGAAGTGGGGGGAAAGTGCGGCATGTGGCCACCTGGACTAGTAGCCCTTGAACACCTGCTCCTCCTCCATACATCATTCCAATCCACTCTTGGAGCCACCAAGTTGTGGCCCTGGCTACACACTGGGCCAGCAAATCCCACAGCTCAGCTCAGCACTGCACCCAGGAGAGGCAGCATGAGCAGCGTGGTGATGGGGCCCGTGGGTTTAGCATAAACTGCCTCAAAACCCGGGCCTTTCGCTCTGCCCAGTCCTTGCTGGGGATTGGGCCAAGGCTGTGCACCATACAAAGGATGTGGCTGGAAAAAATCCCAGTGTCTTCGGAAGTGCAATGCTTGGCAGGCACTGAACCTGCTCAGTGCTCCTTGGGGTTCTCATGTCAAGGAGGGCTTTTCCCCTGAAGTCTGTGCACTTTTGCAAATGCTGACATTCCTGCAAGTGTGCTGATGCTGTCCTCTTGCTTCTTCTTTGGTGGCCCTGTCTGGGCTCCAGTTCTGTTGGCTTTTGCCACCTGAGCTGGCCATTAGAAGAAGGAACCCTGTAATACCCAGAACCCAAACAGAAATGCTCCAGGTAAAGGTAAAGGTGTCAATGAAGCAAGCTGCCCTCTGCGCACACGAGACACTTCAGCCCTGGGAAGTGGCAGAAAAGCCTCTGTAAGCCCAGCCCCTAAAGGGGCCATCCTCAAGCCACACATTTCCACTGAGATTTCAGCATCGGCACAAGGGGACCTTTGTTCTGGAAATGCTGCGGCTGCTTCCTACCACGGTGAGGCAGGGCCACCTTCTGGGGTTCCCTGCAAAGCATGTTCTCCTGCGGACATAGCCAGAAACAAAGCCTTGTCCTCTCAAGGTGGCTTCATTTTTTTCTTTTTCAATTCTTAAGTATCACTTGATTAATAAAAGCAACTTGGTAAATGGGATCCCTTACCGAATGCCTTTGTTCTGAGCAATGCTGTGATGTGAAAGCCTGGAGACCGCAGATATCACCTGATGAGAGAGAGAAGGCAGTGAGGTTAATTTCTAGGGTCAGATGCTTACAGCTTTGTCTGTTTTTAAAGGCCAAGGTAAAATAAACATTCTTCTATCTTACGAAGAAAAATGGCATACCTCAAAGCATTGCTTTAGCCTTATCTGGCTGATTAACCCAAGCTGGATATAAAACCAACAATCCCAGGCAGTGTGGCAAGAATGAGAAGCAAGCCACTTGCTCAAGAAACTGGGTCCAGGGCACAAACGGCCCTGAGTTGCCCAACACAAACTGCCCCTGGAAACCCCAACAAAGGTGCCGGTGCTGGCGCCGCGATGCCCACGAGCACCAGCCTCGGGACTCCACACGGCTGCTGAAATAAAGCAGGCAAACTGCACAGCCGTCATGCAGGAATACGCAACTTGCCTGCTGTGCCGAGCCCGGCTGGTGATGCCACCAGCTCAGCTATGGTCCCCTCCACATGATGAACGGCGCTCCTCCCAGACGGGCTTGCCTGGGCCGTGGGGGTGGGGGCATCCTCTCCTTCCTCCCTGTCCAGAGCATGAGGTCAGCCCATGCGTGAGAGTGCTGGGCATCCTCCCCAGCAGCAAGACTGTGTGCCAGTTGCAATCACTGTCAGGAGAGGGCGGAGGGTGGGGGGAGGCAGCCGGAGTGATCCCTGTGCTGATACGTGCATTTGTATGAAAAGTTCCAGCCCTGGCTTTGCTGAGGACAAGAGGACACCTTCCCTGGTGCAGGCAGGAGGGGAGTCCCCACACTAGTTAGCACTGCCACTCAAGACAGTATATTGCAGAGCTGGGAAAATGCTGAAAATCATAGAAGAGTAGAGTGGAAAGGGGCCATGAATGCCATCAAATCCAATCCCTGCTGTTGCAAGACACCATGTTGCACCATCCCACTCAGATGGCCGTCTAGCTTCTTTCTGAAAGCCTCCAGTGTGGGAGCACCCACCACCTCTCCAGGCAGCTGGTTCCACTGCCGTATTGCTCTGACAGTGAGGAAGCTTTTCCTGATGTCCCGCCTGAACCTGGGTTGCCACAACTTGAATTGGTTATTCTGTGTTCTACACTCTGGCATCAGCAGGAAGAGATCTTGACCTTCCTCTTGGTGACAGCCTTTGGGTCCTTCTCGAGGGATAGGATCCTTTACTGCATGGTGGAAGCACCAAGGGCTGGGATCATGATGCCAAGCGGGGGGGGGGGGGGCGATCTTGTCAACCACATGGGCGATCTCCATACTCCACAGAGTGACCTGGGCTTCAATGGGAGTGCCAGTTAATGTTGGGGCACAGCCTTAACAAGTGCTATCAACTTCACACGGGGGTCCTGAAGTGCTGCCCACCCAGCTTCAGTGGCCTGAGCCTCTTGCTGCTGTGCACGCCAGGAGAGGTGTGCGTGAGGCAAATTGCAGCATTATTATGAGCGGGCGGATCATATTAGGATCAAGAGAGGTTCCAGCATGAAAGACCCAAGATGCACCAGAAGAGTCACCGGAGAGTGAAATCCTTGTCTTGGTGAAGATGAAGCATGAGTGAAAGTTGCTGCCTGTTTTCATCCCGTCAGGGTATGGAAGGGGGGCAGGGGAGGCGAGCTGCACAAGTGCGGCTACAGAACACTAAGCCCTGTGAGACTGGATGTGACACGCTTCCGCATGCCCACTGACCCATGGGAAATTCAGGCCGAGCTGGCAATCAGGTTCCCCAGCCCTGGAGTAGGGCAGATGAACAGCACAAGTGTTGGATCACGGAAGGGATACAGGCGGAAGCCGCCTGTTCTCCAGCCCGTGATCTCCGGCCTCATTCTTCTTCTTTTCCACTCTTTCAGATATTCAGCCATCTCCTGTCTCCTTGCATCCACTGGGTCCCGTTTCCTTGTTCTGTCTAAACCCTGTCTTTCTCCCTCTGGCCAGGGACTGATCTGCCTCCTTCCCACCTTATCCTCACTGCAGCCCACTGCGGGGCAGTGAAGGGGGAGGTGTTGCCCCCTCCTCTTGTCACGCGAGGTCTGGCTAGTGGGCAAGAGGACCACCAGCCCGACCCAGTGTGGCTCTTCACCTGGCCTTCTGTCCCCTGGGCAGGCACACAGGCCGGCTCACCTGGAAACAGAGCTTTCCACTGGTGAGAGTTTGGAAGGCTGTCTTGCCTGCCTGCTCTTTCTCTGACACCCCAACACCCATGGCCTCATACCACAGAAGGGCTCCACATGATGAACTCAGTTATTTAGCCAAGGTCCCTCTGCATGCCTCCACCTGTTAGCCCACAGATGGTACCCGAGGCGTGACCACCCACTTATGCCAGATCCCTTATTCATGGCCTTTCAAGGACTCATCTGGACTGTTGTGCTAGTTGCTGCAGAAGGTGTGCTTGGAGGCCACAAGAAGCATGAGATCCACCGCACCTGCCCTTCTGAAAAGCCATCACTGGACCGCCACATGGTAACACGGCTCTCCCTGTTTTGAAAGGCATCTCAACAACTGATGTGGCCCCAAAGTGGGAGGCAGCAGCTGATGTGTAAGGAGTGCACAGGCTCTGCACAAGCGGTGGTTTCCAAGTAGTCTTCAAGGGTAGGCCCACACAGAGTACATTGCAGTAACCTAGCCTGGTTGCAACCAAGCTGCATATTGCAGCTTTCCCTAGATGGGACTGCAGCTGCTGCAGCTGTCTGAGCTGGCAAAAGAGGTGCAAGAAGGCATTATGCATACATGAGTGCATCATCCACCCTTTTGCTGCCACACAGGAGGGGTCACTGAGGCAGCCATGCAGGAAAAATCTAGTCATAAATGCCATTCTGTCTGCCTGCCAATGGAAACAGAGAGATGCTGAGATGCAAACCCACTCCACAAATACACCTCCTTAACCCACCGGACTTTACGTGTGTGCCCAGAGTACAAGGAGAGGCCTGTAGGAGTAATAAACCAACCAAGTGGAAAACTCATTAACTTTGGTCACTGATTACTCCAAACCCCATATGGGCAAAGTTTCCTAAAACCATCATTAAAAGAACAATGCACAATATTTCTTCCGTACAATAGAATCATAGAGCAGTAGAGTTGGAAGGGCCAAGAAGGCCATCAGGTCCAACCCCCTGCCATTGCAGGACACCAGGTTACACCATCCCACTCCGAGGGCTGCCCTGCTTCTTTCTGAATACCTCTGGTGTGGGAGAGCCCATGACCTCTCCAGGCAGCTGGTTTCACTGTTGTATTGCTCCAACAATGAAGAAGTTTTTCATGATATCTAGCCTGAATCTATTTTCCAACAACCCAATTTTCCAACAACCCAAGAGACTATGCGCTCTGCAGTCAAAGATGGAGAAGTCAGTAAAAACAAGACCAGGAGTTGACTGGCTCAGATCATGAGCTCTCATTGCAAAATTTAGGTTTAAATTGAGGAAAGTAGGAAAAACACTAGGCCACTCAGGTATGACCAAAATCATATCCTTGATGAATATACAATAGAAGTGACAAATAGATTTAAGGAATGACATCTGATAGATAGAGTGCCTGAAAAACTATGGACAGAGGTTCGCAACATTGTTCAAGAGGTAGCAATTAAAACCATCCCAAAGAAAAAGAAATGCAAGAAAGCAAAATGGCTGTCTGAGGAAGATTTACAAATAGCTGAGCAAAGAAGGGAAGCGAAAGACAAGGGAGAAAGAGAAAGATACACCCAACTGAATGCAGAATTCCAGAGAATTCCAGCTAAAGAGATAAGAAGGCCTTCTTAAATGAGCAGTGCAAAGAAATAGAAGAAAACAATAGAATACGGAGGACCAGAGATCTCTTCAAGAAAACTGGAGATATGAAGGGAAACTTTCATGCAAAGATGGGCATGATAAAGGACCAAGATGGCAGGAACCTAACAGAGGCAGAAGAGATTAAGAAGAGGTGGCAAGATTACACAGAAGAACTATACAAGAAAGAGCTTAAAATCCCTGATAACCATGATGGGGTGGTCACTGACCTCAAGCCAGACATCCTGGAATGTGAAGTCATTTAAATGGGCCTTAGGAAGTCTGAGCAGCAACAAAGCTAGTGGAGGTGACAGCATTCCAGCTCAGCTATTCAAAATCTTAAAAGAAGATGCAGTAAAAGTGCTACACTCAATATGCCAGCAAATTTGGAAAACTCAACAGTGGCCACAGGATTGGAAAAGGTCAGTTTACATTCCCCTCCCAAAGAAGGGCAATGCCAAAGAATGTTCGAACTACCGCACCATTGCACTCATTTCACATGCTAGCAAAGTTATGCTCAAAATCCTACAATCGAGGCTCTAGCAGTATGTGGACCGAGAACTACCAGAAGTACAGGCAGGATTTCGAAGAGGCAGAGGAACTAGAGATCAAATTGCCAACATGCACTGGATCATGGAGAAAGCTAGGTTGTTCCAGAAAAACATCTACTTCTGCTTCATTGACTGTGCTAAAGCATTTGATTGTGTGGATCACAACAAATTGTGGCAAGTTCTTAGAGAGATGGGAATCCCAGACCATCTTATTTGTCTCTTGAGAAACCTGTATGAGGGTCAAGAAGCAACAGTGAAAACTGGACATGGAACCACTGATCGGTTCAAAATTGAGAAAGGAATTCGGCAAGGCTGTATACTGTCTCCCTGCCTATTTAACTTATATGCAGAGCACATCATGCGAAAGGCTGGGCTACATGAATCACAAGTTGGAATCAAGATTGCTGGGAAAAATATCAACAGATATGCAGATGATACCACTCTAATGGCAGAAAGTGAAGAAGTAAAGAGCCTCTTGATGCAGGTGAAAGAGGAGAGCGCAAAAGTTGGCTTGAAACTCAACATTAAGAAAACTAAGATCATGGCATCCAGTCCTCTCACTTCCTGGCAAATAGATGGGGAAGAAATGGAGGTAGTGACAGATTTTATTTTCCTGGGCTCCAAGATCACCTCAGATGGGGACTGCAGCCAAGAAATTAAAAGACGCTTGCTCCTGGGGAGGAAAACTATGGCAAATCTAGACAGCATACTAAAAAG